TCCGGCATCCCAAGTTCAGGATTTACAGGCTTTCGACAATTGTGTATTGTTCTATCTGAAATAAGCCGAATTTTTGACCTTGGATTTCTCTCTCCAACGTCTTTGGGCGTCAAATATTTGTTGGTACTACCTGCACTACCCCACACGAAACAATGCAGTGATGGGTCAAAGTTTAAAGCAGGAATTTCTGATCTAGCGCAAGTAAAAATTTCATGGTTTTTAAATTGTTTACCTTTAAAACGACTCTAGCTCGCTCTGGTTATGAAGCTGTGGTATTGATCTATCTAACGTATTTTTGGTGTGTGGAAAATGCCTAGTCGCACCATTACTCGATATCATTAACACTTGGACCGATCCTCAAAGTGATGCTGCCTTGGGTGTGCTCTTCTCCCCACAAGTGGAAGACTTTTGTCACAAACCGCGTTACAGGAAATTGTGTCATGCCTTTTTTGGCATTATGTGCCATCACTCCGAAATCCTGCTGATTGTCCAAGCCGTGGTGTGACACCCGCCCAACTTTAAGAGAATGATATCTGGTGGTCTGGCCTCAATGTTTTGTTAAAATCTCTGGCCAGAGCAACCGAATATTGAATTTAACACAGAGACATTTTCTGAAGAAAAACAAACTGTCTTAAATGTTTCGACAGATGAAGTCTGGAACGATTTACATCTTTGGCAAAGATCAAACGAATTTTCACTGATGCCCTTAGGTTTATAAATAATTTAAAATCCAAGCTTAGGTTTACAGGTAATCTAACGTCTACAGAAATCGAAACTTCGTTTACCACCTTTTCAAAAGCGCTCAAATTCACACGTTTTCAACTATTTACTCAAAACTTTCTAAAAACGAGCTAATGCTACCAAAACCTTTTAGGAAATTAGTCCCCTTTGTCGACTCATATGGGCTACTTAGATTTGGAGGACGGTTTCGTAATTCCCAACTATCTTTTGATGTTAAACATCCATAATGTCTCCTCGACTTACCACATTTATTAAGAAACATATTCACCGAGATAATTTTCATCCAGGGACAAAATTTTTGGATCTTGTCTCTACCTAGCGCTATTTATCACTTCCTTTCTAATTGCATAAGGTGTTTTAAAAGTAAACCAAAGTCTTTAAACCCTTATATGGTGAATTTACATTCTATGGGAGTTTCACAACTACAGGCGTATCAGTCGGTGTGCATAGATTTCGCGAGCCCTTTTCCAATTGTAACAAGCAAACATAGATGTTCCAGTTAGCGGCACTATAGTGTTTTGTCGCACCTCCCGGCAAATGTACCCTGTTAACTTCTGATCAAGGCAGCGATTTGAAGGGAATATATAGGGAGCTTCTCAACCTGGCCAGGGCTTGTGCATTGCTTGCATTGCTTGGCATTAGCTGGGTTTTAATTCCCGTGGCGCCCCACCTTTTAACGGCATCAACGGGGCAGGCGTTAGATCATTCAAAAACCACCTCTATCGTACCATTGGTTATCAAAATATGACGTTACTCAAATTAAGACAGTGTTAAACTTGCGCATCAGTTCAGGACCGAACGATCTACAACCTTTGACTCCTGGTGATTTTCTAGTGTAAGAGCCTTTGTGTAGCTCAATTTACGATCCTTCTTTGGATAATATTTGATTAAACCGAATAAATCGGTGGAATACATTCAAAGAGTCCAAGTTGAGTTTTGGAGACATTTTTCTATCGAATATATCATTACCTTGCACGAACACCATTAATTGCTCAAGCCGTCACCACCAATTTCAATCGAAGACTTGATTCTTATCAAGGATGAACAGCGCACTCCCCTTCAGTGGCCATTAGCACGAGTTACGGATTTACATCCAAGCAAAGATGGGATAGTTCGTGTGATGTCTCTCAAAACCAAAACCAGGATGTTGCAGCACTCGGTAAAAATCTGTCCTTTACCACAAAATTAATTTTCTTTTTTTTTATATAGGTAATTGTTGTGTTATTGTCATTAATGCATTGGAATATTTTTTCTTCAACCCTACTTTAAAAATTTTCGTTTTGGTGTGCAGAATGTTGAGGAATGACCATTAATAAATCAATTATGGATGTTCATATCATATTTTCCTATTAATTTATTTTTGTTTTGGGATAGTATTTAATATTAACATTTCTTTTTTGCTCTCTTTTTCTTCATCATTTTACCTTTACTTACTAGTTTACAAGTACAGCACTGATAGCCGGAATGCTGCGCTAATCTCACTCCGACGTAAATAAGGGCGCCAAAGGCGATCCGAGAGAGATGAATCCATACCGGTTGCTTGCACGCGTGGTTTTCTTTCTTCTTTTTCCAACAAGTGATACATGTGAACGTTTGAAAAGGAGAATTGAGTAGCCTTCAAGAGTTTAAAGACCACTCCGCCGGCGGAACGTATATTTATCTTTTCTTTACGTAGGCAGGTCTTAAATTCGTATTACAGTTTGTTATAGAAGATTTATCAATATATTTTTCTTATTTACACTTTTAATAGTTTCTGCATAAACGCCATCTATGTTTTAAAGAGTGAATCATTCCCGAATTAAGTTAAGCATCCACAAAAAACCACCATTAGAGAGAATTGCAGTAAACTTAAACGCATGCCCAGCCATCCAACGAGGAATGCCTGTTTTGTTTGTGAAGACGCAACAAATGAAATTGTTTATGAATCAATCAGAACTCATTTGGGACTATCAAAAACAATCAATTGGAAGGAAGTTTTTGAAGTTAGTGTAGGGAAATACACGACCAAACGTTAATTTGGATACGTTATATACTACTGGAACTTGTTGAATGGTATAGAACTTTTTCATGTACCTTTGGAAATAAAGACCAAAGATGGAAAGGACCTATTAAACTAATAGTAAACTAAAGTAATCACGAATCCCTTGTGCCCTAATCTAGTTAACACTAATTACGAATTATGAATAATAAATCGTAGTGTTGTAATGTTAGTAGAAAAAACAATAAGTTCGCTGAAGCATTTTTTTAAAGTTGTGCTCATTAAACGAAAGGTTGCACGATTTGGCAACCCAGCACCGTCGCAAGCTGTATTGTGTAGCTATCACTGCCATTGTTATCCCGCCGATAGATCCAGCGGCAAAACAAGTATTTTTTGAATTTGAATGAATTTGATATTCGAATACAAGACTTTTTTATTAAATTATATCGTATTTGACGCTCAGAGGTTTCGGAAAGTCCGAAAAAATACAGCGTAATAATTTTTAACGTTGCATTATTAAGAAAGAACCTTACGCGCCGCTGATCGCTTATTTAATTCACGGATCGATACAGTATTTCTAACTAATAAATATCAATAGCGGTTGTGTAAACTGTTAAGCAACTGCGGGATATGAATTACATTGTCAAAACAAAATATTATGGGTGAAGTATTGTTTTGATGTATACCTATCCTGTTTTGTTTTGTTTGTTTTGTTTAATGAATTGCTTTAATGCTGCTTCCATTGTCACGTGTATTTTGTTTATGATATCCCGAAATATATTGTCAACATATTTTTCCATCCGTGAATCAATATTTGAAAAAAAAACATATATATATATATATATATATATATATATATATATATATATATATATATATATATATATATATATATATATATATATATATATATATATATATATATATATATATATATTTTATTTTTTATTTATTTTTTTTTTTTCACGGATGGAAAAATATGTTGACAATATATTCCGGGATATCATCCGTTCGCTTGTTGAATTTCGACTGGATTCCTGCATCCGATTGGAATCCTGCAGACATTTCGCCAAGATCTCACTTTGCATGTTCAATACTTGAAGATATATTTATCCTTATTTGTGCTTTACCATATAAAACAATGTTAGTCGCAGGATTGCTGATCTATTTGAATTTAAAATTCAATATTGTTCTGCCTAATGAAAGAGCTAGTCTATGTTTATGTTTTTTGTTACCGTTATTTATCATAGATGGATGACGATAGGTTTTTTGGTCCAAACGTAGCTTTTAATTATCAATAAGTGATTCAAAATCGAACATCATTTTTTTTTATTTTCCCAGAAGCGGTAAGTTTTGGCAGTTAAAGGAGTTACATTCTAAATTATATGCACACACATCCCACTTAAGTACATAGTCAGGCACTTAATATAAGAAAAAGTGCATATTTGTGTATTTTAATAATATATAATATAATTATGAGAATGTACATGATTGATTGAAACGTGAAACTTCCTTAGTCCAGTACCTTGTACCAACATCAGAATCATTGTCTTTAGTGTTAAAAAAATGGACCTTATATTATACATAATGTTTTTTAAATTATAAGATAAAGAAACGCACACAAAGCCAAAAAACACAAGTAACAGATTAACTCAATATATCTCCTCGATAATTAAGGAACATTTAAAAACGTTGTTTTAATTTTTAACATTTATTATATTCAGAGGTCATCTAAAGACAGTGAAATGCTATTTATTAATAACATCTTCACTTAGTTGCTCTATAGGCACCAAAACACTGTCAATATCTCCGCCATGAATTAAGATTTTGTTGTTGTTACTTTTTTGCAACCCAGTACAATAACAAAGGAAATTGGTTTTGGTTAGTTAGTTAGTTTTGGTAAGTTAGATGATATTAAACTAACATTACATTCGAATTTATATTCTTCGAAGATCAGTTCTCCGATATCACATGTATCTTCATCTGTTGTTTATTTATCTTCATTTGAAATAAAAAAAAATCACAACTGATGAATTGGACTTTGAAGAATCGAATTTGAATATTAATAGAAATCAATAATAATAATTAAAATAATAGTGTGGGTGTATCACATGAGAATTTTAAGAGCAACCCAGCCATGGAATTAAAACATATTCCTTCTATTTAAAATAAGAAAGTTTGGTTGACTTAGCGAAAAAACCATAAATGTGGCAACTAAATTTATAAAATTAAAGTCTATTAATTTCTCCTCGACTTTTGACTAATCCTGTATGTATTTCAGCCGGAAGTGCGGTATTAGGTAGGGCCAAAACGCAAGGAAAAACGGACGCGAGCAAAAGGATCATCAACTACAGCTCCATGAGGATAACCAACAGGACCGGCGGTGCGCCGGTGCGAAGGAACACTACCAGGGCACATCAAAAAAATATGCACGCGAGGTAGAGCTCACTATACAGCGTGTCCCGATATTAATACATGAAAGTTTTGAAATTTTAAGAAAAGGACAATTTCTTAGCATAACTTTCAAACCACTCTAGATATTTCATCTATTTTACATTTTTTTACACTGATTTCCACCAGCAAAAGACATTTTTCGATGCCACGTATTGTATTAATTTTTTCTTAAAAAAAACAAAAATTATTATAAACTTTTGATTTTTAATGTTTATTAATAATTTTTTTTGTAAACGTTGCATCTTTCGCAAAAAAGTCAAGGTATCAACTTTGTTTCAAGTTGATAGAAGATTTCAAAATTAATTTTTATTTTAGGAATAAGCAGTGGCACAAACACAAACATTTTCGACAATTTCAAATTCCCGCTATGTATTCTTGTAAGGAGTATATAGCCATTTCAGCCAAATATTACTTTACTTTCCTTTGGATGACTGTGGTGGTAGGAATCTAGTCGACATATTCATCACTTTGTTCAGGCCCACATGCAAAGAGTTTCTCACCGACAGTGAGAGCCTAAGGCAAGGTGCACGCGAACCTCTAATCAGATAACTATCAATGTCTGAGTTATAAGCAAGCTTACTTTTGTTTTTATCAATTAGCGACTGAAAGACATACGTTGGGTGAACCGCCTAATGAAAAATATGCTGCTAGAAAGTTTATTACATAATATGCCTATGTTCTATATGTCCACTTCAATGAATCATTTTTATGAATGAAATCAACTGCATTTTAGGATTGCTTGTAATTATCATTCTGTCTCACAATTTGTTTTTTTCTTCAAGCAAATTTGAGTTATATTTTAGTAAAGTAATGTCGTTATGAACATTAGTTAAGGTAAGATCGTCTGTATATAGAACGCACGAGTCAGGAAGAAAAAAGTAGTACAAATAAATTTATTTGTGATGTGAATAAAATGGGACCCAGTACGGATCCCTGAGGGATTCCATAATTCACGTGTCTAATATCAGAATTTCCCTAACATGTTCTGACATACTGGTTTCGATCTGCAGGATATGACCGAAACTCCACAAAAACATTCTAGCTGAAGTTGCATAGAGGTATGGCTCACTCAAGGCCCACAACAAGGCGGTCGATGAATGAAGTTATAGCATCTATAGTGTTATGGAGATTAATAGATTAAAACAATACGACACTTCAGAACTAGTTCAAACAATATTACAAGAATGGGAATTATTGAGAAAGGGTGAAGATACGGATCATGCGGCTGTCCTTTAAAGCACCAGAAAAGTCTCGTTCAGAAATTTACGAGTTAAAAAGCTGGGTAAAATGTAAAACCACTTGCTCAGCGTAGTGCTTTATTATTTTCGCTTTTTATAGTATTTGAGACGCCCGTAAAAATTCAGTTTCAAAATAAATAAGAACTAAAAATTCATGTCAAGTCATAATATATAATTTCGTGAAAATCTGAACTTTTAGTTCTTATTTATTTTCATAAATGGATTTTCATCAAGTAAAAGCCACCTCAGTTCAAAATTCAGTTTGACAGGTTTTAAAGTTACTTATTTTGCGGTCATGCGTTATGGGAGGTAAATTCTTTAATGTTTCAGCCGCTGATGTAAGAAAGTAATTAAAATTCTTAACATTAAGATTTGTGTAAAAATCTTTTCTGTTCTTATTAGGTTCATAAATAACCAGGTTTCAGGTACCTTTAATTTTATTACTAGACTAACCGATAAAACTGTCGTAGGCCTGTATTTTTGTCACTTTTATTTTACGATATGTATTGATCTTTCGCCACTGAATTGCCTTCAATTACCTTTAAGGACTTAAGTATGCTCCTCATGCACCTAAGTTCATGAGTGAACCAGATAATAGGTGATTTGTGATCCAAAATTATTTTTAATTTCAATTTAGTTATTTAGTTAAGGAAATTTACTAGGAAACAAGAGGGGAACACTACGTCAGAATTGACATAAAAATCATTCCAGGTGATGAGTCACACAATTTGTTAAAAATTGTATCATTTGTGACATGTCTATAGATTATTTTGCTGTCCTTTGAATGGGGCACCTGTATCTGGACAGTTCGTGCCTAGTGGTCGGACACAATTTATTAAATTATTAATAAAAAATAGTTTTTTTCTTAGAATTTCAATACCCCGTTTCTGTGAAAAGTAGTCGACATTTGCTTCATTAATTTCGGAATGCCCTGTATAATTTTTTCAAGCAACGTGCGCACTTTCGGATTTCGATAGGTCGCAACCAAACATGAGGCAGATCGGCTCGCAAAATCTCGACAACATGAAGTCGCTCAAGTCGATAGATCGGGATTTGACGTCGAGCAACATTAGCAGGATGGCAATCTCGCAGTCAGCGCCCCACACTCCCGTGTCAGCACCTAGCCACGACGCTCCGCTTTTCAGGGGCGTTCCGAGGCTATTGTCGGAGCCGATAGTTAACAGGTAGGGAAATGGTGCTCATATGAAGGACTTTTTTACTTGCAAATGTTTGCCGGTCCTCTTGAGTAGGTCTCGTTGACGGCAAGATGTGGAGGTAAAAAGATATGCCTTGGTTCCAACAAAAACCAAAGAAAAATCCAGCAGAATATTTTAATGTCCTTAATCAACAGCAATGACTTGGTTCTCTCTGTTGGTGACTTTAATGTTGACTACATGTCTAAAAATCCTAAGGAATTTTGGGCACATTGCGTTGGATTAGTATTCGAACATCATCCAATGTTTCTTTTGCCTCCTGATGAGCTTAATAGTTTTTTTTTAAGTGTGCCCATGGTCAATGCGCCAGTGAACAATACACACATTGACTACAAGGAGTTGATAGACTTGACCGTTAAAATATTCTTTTAATAACGCGACTCTAGTGAACTGTGGGTCTGTAAGCTTCCTGTTGGTTCTTTCTAAGATCCAGAAGAAAGTTATGATTGAACAGTTGAGCGATTCTTCTTCTTATTCTTATCAATCTCCTCTTAAAAGTATTGGATAATGGCAAATCTAGTTGTCTAGTTCTTCTTGATTATAGCAGAGCAATTTACACTATTGATCATAATTTTTTATGTACCCTTTTTAAAAAAAATCTTACATGGTAGGGGTCAATTAGTATTTTCTTGACGCGCATGGTCTGGGGTCTTGGTCGTGGTTCGAGGGGTTTCCCAATGTCATTTTCTTAACCATCTCGGCTCGTATCAATTTGCACGTGACTTTCAACTGTAGAATGTAGAAATTCAATATGTGGTACTTACTTATTAAGTTTCAGTTGAACTCTGAACAAGTTAATAGGAAGATTCTATTAACACATCTATTATCTATTAGTATTACAATAGCATGTGAAAGTTATTTTGGAAAAAACGAGATACGTACTTAAGAAGTTTTCCTTGTGTATTTAGTTTTTGGATTCTTGTTAAAAGGACTCCGTTACAGGTCTAGAAGTTCCCCGGGAGTCAAACCTCGCGAAAGCAGACACGCGAAAGTACCGAACCTGACAGAAAACCATTCGTCGGGCGACACGACCGAACGTTTTAAAGTAAAAAGCGTGGAACCAGTGGCGCCCGTCCACTATTCCCCGAAGCACGTTCCCCGAAGAGACATGAAGTTCTCTCTCAGAAGCCCGCTGAACAAAAGGGACAAGATTCAGATCGAGGGCGGCAGACCTAGTGACAGACTGAACAAAATGCATTCGTTGGACGGTACTTACCTTTAAAGGCGGATGTGTACATAGTATTGGGACGCAGGTGCCATTTTGGATATCAGTCAGGACCGGATTAAACTTCAGTGGGGTACCGGGCCTATTCGCTCTCGTGGGGGTCCCAGACAGGTCTTAGATGATGATGATAAGTTGGATACTAATTCTTAAAAAACATATCTTAAAAAATATATAATAAGCACATTTTGCAATTTTTGTTTGAGGGAACATGATAACAGTTTTTGCCATGAGACAAATTAAGAGGAACATTTTTTGTTTGAGGTTCCGGGAGTTTGAAAAATTAGAATTCTAATTAAGGTCTCTCAAAGTCATAAGGGAACAGGGGAAAACTATCACTTAAAATTTTTTGGGTCACCAAGAACTCCGTAGGAGCAGCGGAGGGTCGATTAGGCCTATCGAGCTACCCCCTTTAATCCTGCCCTGATAATACGCTGTCTATACGTATGCTGTGCGATAGGAAGGAACGTAACTTTTGTAACAGCGTTTCTTTCCTAAATATACGACCAATTTTTAAGTAGCAAACTAAATTTGATTTGAACATGTTTAAACTGGGACGTTCGAAAATGTACACGGTGTTTGTATTCCATGTTTCTTAAAAAAATATATACGGTGTGTCGCATTTAGGATGAAGCCACCCCTCTAATTTGGATATCTAAATAAATACATACTTTTAAGTTTTGCTAAGTCATTCAGGTTGACTGCTCACATTTCCTAAAATACTCAGTGAAAGTTTAAATTTTATAGGCTACCTACTGCGAATCCACATACAAGGTTATTTTCTTCGTGATAGAGATGTCGGAAAAAGTTATTTCAAAAAGTTATTCCGAATATTTTTTTACCCCGACATACCAAATTTCAAGTCAAAACCTTCATTTTTATTTTTTTATATGTTACTGTGCCGTGGAAAAAAATTGTCTATAATATGGTCGAGTGGATAGTGTAAAATTCTTATATTTATATTCTTCAGTAAAATAAATTACACTAAAGGAGAAAAATAATTATTTTGTTTAAAGAAAACAATTACAGTAACTGATTAAATTTAACAAAATAATTAAAACAATAATTACATAATAATAAAACATAACATAACATAAACATAAATTAAAACAATAATTACATTTGTGAAATGTAATTCTGCTCGACTAATCGTCCATTTTTTAGAATACATTGTTCCTTTTTTTTCAAAATAGGCGTTTTTAGTTCTTTTTGTTGTTTTTTTTATTTGACAATTTACTGTGCCATGGAAAGAAAAATCAAAAAACGATAACGGCATCTGATTAAATTTAAGAAAATAATTAAAATAATAATTTTCATAGTATAAATGACATTTAGTGAATTGTCAACTTTTTCTCAAATCCGCATTTATAGTTTTTTCATTATTTTGATCTATATAAAAAATTATGAAAAGCTGTTTTTTTTATAAATTAGTGTGCCATGGAAAAAAAGATCTCTACAGTATGCTACATCTGATAGTGTAATTCTTGTAATTTAAATTCTGCATTAAATAAATTACACTAAAGGAGAGGAACAATTATTTTATTTGTCCCTCCATTTATGCGACTACATTTTTCAATTCTTAATGATTCTGTCTGAAGTCTTGCCTAAGTTTTGGGATGTCAATTTCTTGACAGGCTTGTCTCATTCTGGAATTTTTTTTCCAGATAAATGTTTGGTTGAATCCTTGAATTGTGAATTGTATTATAAATAAAACTTTTGACCCTGTTGTTCGATTCGAAAAATTTAAATTTAAATTGAGTATCTTAAAAAATGGAAACCATCAACCTGTACGTCTGTGTAAAACTTCAAATTTGTATTTATTTAGATATCGTAGGTTAAATGTGACCCACTGTATATATTTTTAGTTAGGCTATTCAATGATAGAACTGTCATTACTAATTCAACTGCTTTTCTTTTATGGTGAATATTTTTCACGGACTGAGGCTTTCCATCGCACTGTAATACGTCGATCCCAAATAATTTACAATTTAAGGTGTGCGTGTAATATTTTCAATATTTTTCCATTTTCCAATCCCGCAGTGTAAAACGGGAACGATCTGAAAAATGTTAGCGGTTAACTTAGGCCAAGTACTACTTTGTGTTTGGATCAATGTGTATTTTAATGATTGTATTAAATAAAGGATTTGAAATCAAGATCTTGCATTGTGTTCTAGGAGGATTTTATTGCAGTAACTTGGGGTACATGGTAATTAATGGAAATTTTATACAAAATTAGTGGTATTCGGTGGCAATTAGTGGAAATCTAATCTTGCTTGGAAGAAACATAGAGAAATTAGTAATAATCTTAGTGACAGGTGTATAGTTGCTTTACGACTCCATATTTTTTTAAGGTTATGGTGAAGTTTATTTTGTGATAGAACGCTTAATATATCAATTTCGGAAATTATTAGAGAGAAGAGCAGATGAAAAGTTTTTAATTCTAATTTCAATGACTCAAGTTGAAATAATTTTACTACTCTCTTAACAAGAGAATTGATAACTGAAGATTTTTTGAGCCGGAGATTGATGTGCTTGATTTTTTATTTATAACAATATGTAACAATGGGAGATTATTATCAGTTTCCAATTCAATGGTAAAATAAAATAAAAGTTTCATCAATGTAGCGTTTCCATAATTTTCGAAAATGGAGAACCCAAAACTGGATTTGTTCATAAATTTAACCGTCACAAGAAGAATACGTTCCTGACAACCATTTTTCAGATGAGAAAGTGTGTTTCCAGATTCTCGGAGTTTAATAATAATCTAAAATAATGTTGAGAGTTCCAAAACCAAGGGCTTTAATTCAATGAAATGAAACGAATTAGATTAAAATTAAAGCTAGATATTTTAATAGAGAATGTGTAGGAGAACTAATGGCGCTGACAATAGGTCGAAGTAGTAATCCTGATGTGTGCTGTGTGAATTTTCGCGTCTTGAAGGATGGCAGAGTTTTTTACTGATTCTAATTGAGAAAAAGCTTTAATAACAGATTTCAGGTCGCGTTTTATAGATGACGCAGGATATTTTTTAAGTTGACGACAGGGTCCGTCTGTAAGAGTATCGATTTTTTTCCTAATAGTCAGATTATCGGCTTTTCCGACGTCAAGTTGGACCGTTTATCGTGGGGAACGTTTTTTGTGGGAGGCTGAAATTTTTTAAAAAATAATGAATTACCATTAAATGGAGGGGGTTGGGGTGGACTTTATGGTATCTATGGATAGACCTCATTGACCTCCATTTTCAGTAGAAATTACAATCTTTTCGAAGCAACGTAAGTATTTTGAAAAAATGAAAATGAGAATTTTTGAGGAGTGTCATATCAATGAAAATTATAAATTGAGAATATTCACTAGTGATGGAGAACGTTGGAGGCTTATTTTATAGTATGTATGAATAGACCTCATTGACCTCTAACTTCGATACAAATTTCAATCTTTTCGGATAAACGTAGATATTTTAAAAAATTAAAAATTTAAAATTTATGAGGAAAAACATGATAAACATGAAAATAATAAATCGAAAGTATTAACCGAAAATGGGGGGCTGGGGAAGACAATATAGTATGTGCAGATAGATCACCTTGATGTGCATTTTCTGTAAAAAATTTAACCTTCTCGGATCAATATAAGTTGAGAAATAACCTTAAAATCTCATTTTAAATGGAAAAAACAGTTTAAAAATCAATTATCAATATTTAACGTTTTATATATTATTTATTAATAATTTTGAGAAATTAAAATTCTATTCAATGAAACGAAAGAGATTCACACAAGTTATACCGTTTGACGTCGGGAACGGTTTTTGTGTGAGGCTGTAAATTTATAACAAGTAATTATTTATATTTAAATCGAGGGGGCTGGAGGGAACTTTATGGTTTCTGTGTTGTGTTGACCTCCATCTTCGATAAAAATTTCAAGCTTCTCAGTGCACCGTAGGTATTTTAAAAAATTTAAAATCTAAATTTTTGACAAAAATCATGATGAACATGAAAATAATAAATCGAAAATATTAAATAAAACTGGGAGTTTGGGGCTGATTTTATAGTATCTGCGAATAGACCTCGCGCAGCGACGAGATTGCTTAAGCAATCTTGTTACTTTCGAAAATCGATGAAATTATAAGAAATGACCCTGATCTGACGCCGTTATCCATCTTTTAATCGCGATTTTCGACTGTTTTTTGGACCTTGCTATGAAACACGATAAGTTTCCGAAATTTGATGCAATCGACTACATATTTCGCACATTGATGTGCATTTTCAATAAAGATTTTAACCTTCTCGGATCAATATAAGTAGAGAAATAACCTTAAAATTTCATTTTAAATGGAAAAAGTAGTTTAAAAATCAATGATCAACATTAAACGTTTTATAAATTATTTATTAATAATTTTCAGAAATTGAAATTTATACGTTAAATACTTTGGTCCTCCCTCTATTCAATGATACCAAAGAGATTCACACAAGTTATACCATTTGACGAACTTTTAATTATGTTTGGTACCAATAACGTTAGAATCTCCACAACGTAGTAAAAAAGTCAATGTACAAAGTAATCTTACCAGTTTCAGTCTGTAACCATCCAACTTTCTGCTTTTGCGCTTGAAGTCCTCTCGATAAAGGTTTGTTTTTTTTTAATTTAGATTTTTCCAGATCTATAAACGCTGATTAATTTTCCCTGTTTACTCTTACTGCTATGTTATAAAAAATCAAAGAGTTTTTTCGTGGCTTAACAGGACACCTTTTGGTTTTGGACATTGTTGAGAATAGTTTCCCGGTTAACTCATTGTTTTTAATTACTGACTTTTCCGCCATTTCTCTGAAAAGGGAGTAGGAAGGAAGACAAGGCCCAGGTGAGTATGTTCGGACACTATTGCAAAGGGACGATTATTAAGTTTGAAAGAATAAGTGCAAACTACCTGACCACCTCCAGCAAATTTAATAGTTTTAGTTTTGCTTATATTAATAGCTAGACCGATAGTTAGTTTGCGCTAGAGATCCACTTCTTAAGTATAAATAAACGAAATGAAATTTCAGAAGAACGTCTCACGTAATAGCAAAAGTGCTGGAGTTTCAGAATGCGGTAGGTCTAACCAATGAATATCTTCGTCTCCCAGCAGTGCCATGTTTCTATTTTGTGTAATTGGTTATTCTTATACCTTCACGAAATTTGTTCAAATATGGCCCCAAAAGACCGGTATAAAAGAAAAAGTGCGTTACGTTCACTCTAATTAGTTCTTCAGCAGCTCTTGAACAAATGCATGAGAGTAAATATTTTTAATAGTATTAATTAATGAAGAGCCTATGCCGCAGTTATATAGCTTTTGCAAAGGTAGATTGTGGTTTATTATCAAATGCCCTTTTAAAATAAATCAAACCATGGGGTATGTCAGATGACAAAGCATAGAGATTATCTATACTGTCGTCATAAGTCAAATCCCCGTAACTAACAAAAATTAAATATTTGACTTTGTTTGACCTTTCAACTTACAAGGAATGTTTCGAACGTAAAAATAAGCTAAGTTGAGGTAAATAAACTTATCTTTAAAACTGAGACACCGTAATTAACAAGTTTTGGAGAATATGCTTAGCCAAATAGTGTTACTAACGTTACTAACTGGGTAATCACCTGAGGCCCAAAAAGAAAATGATTCAAACTTTGAACTATTATCTAGTACCTCCAAGTGACTATCTTTCAAACAACAATGGTTTGGATGGATATGTATATAGAAAATGCGGTCGACTCCCCTACCAACTGTATCAGTGCAAGCCAATTTACAGATTAATCAGCGAGAAACTGAATTTTCTCCTATTGTAGGTGCGGCAGAAGAATCTGCGCAAACTACAAAAGAAGTAATGAACAAAGGGTGTCACAAAGTATTTAAAAAAATAATAATCATTGTTCAATAAAAATTTTTAATACTCAAGAACGAATTAACGAAAAAATGAAAATATCTGAAATAGTTCAAAACCTAGAACACACAACAAAGAAAAGAAAAGTTTCTTCTTCACGAGATGATGATTCAGACTATGTACCGACCAAACAAATTCAGGTATATATTTATCAAAACATAATTTTGGTTCGTTGATAATTTTAGACAAGTCTTTTATAGATGTTCAAGTGCAGTTCATAGTGCAGATTATATTGAGTTATATTATTTCGAACCTGACCTTACATTTATGAGTGAAACCAACAAATAGCTGATGAAGCACTCAGGAAAGATATATGATTTTACTGATTTTGCTGGTGCTATCATCATCATCACGCTGCCTATCCACTTAATGGATGTTGGCGACCACACCCTGAAATTGGTCTCTATCTCTTGCCGCGTTGACAAGTTCCCCAATTGTTTTTAGACCTGTCCATTGTCTAATGTTCCTTGCCCATGACATCTGTTTCCTTCCTATTCCTCTCTTGCCATCCATTTTACCCTCTAATATGAGTTGTAACAGCTGATACCTATCATGTCTAAAAATGTGTCCGAGGTAGGCCGTTTTCCTGCGTTTTACGGCTGTAAGTAGTTCTTATGAACTCTTCCACATTTCGAAGGCTTCCACTCTGTTGATCATTTTTGCATTCACAGTCCATGCCTCCACTCCGTACAAAAGTACCGACCAAACATAGCATTTTGCATATCGGACTCGAAGAGACAGGTGCAGGTCTCGATTTCTAAGGATTTTTTCATATCTCATGAATGCCGCACGTGCCATCTCTGTTCTGCACCTAATCTCATTTTCCGAGTTCCATCCTGCATGCATCCAACATCCTAAGTATTTGAACTGTGTTACTCGTTCTATATTTCGGTTTTCTATCTGAATTGTGGCATCTGTATATATTGGTTTTTTCCTACTGATTATAATAAATTTGGTTTTGTCGGCGTTAATGTTTATCCCGTATTTGTTTCTGCTGCCACATAACCTAGTACACATTCTCTGTAGTTCCTCAACATCATTGGCAATGAGGACAGTGTCATCCGCATATCGGATATTCGAAATTGGTATTCCGTTCACTTTCACTCCCAACTCTTGTTCTTCAAAAGCTTCGTTGAATATCGCTTCGGAGCATAAATTAAAAAGCAATGGAGACAGGACGCATCCCTGTCTAACTCCTCTCCGGATATCAATATCTTCAGTAATAATGTTTTGTGTGGTAATATTAGCTGTTTGACCCCAGTACAATCTCTCGATACACCTTATGTCCTTGTCGTCGACGTCGGTTTTTCTCAAAATCTGCATGAGTTTTGAATGCTGTACACGATCGAAAGCTTTTTCATAGTCGACGAAACATAGAAATATGTCCTTATTAACATCTAGACAGTTTTGTATTAAGACTTGGAGTCCGAAAAGCGCCTCACGTGTTTCCATACCTGATTTGAATCCAAACTGGCTAGGGCCGATAATTTTCTCGCATCTGTGCTGTATTCTCCTGTGTATTATTTTGAGGAAAATTTTTAAGGAGTGGTTAATCAGACTTATGAGTCTATGATCTTTGCACTTTCGGGCGTTGCTTTTCTTGGGTAGGGGTATAAAAGTTGATCTTAACCAGCTTCGGGGAAAGTGTCCTGTATTGTAGATATAATTGAATATTTTGAGCAAGACGTCGATATTGTCGTCATCTATCAGTTTCAAAACCTCCCCTGGTATACATCTGGTCCTGTAGCCTTATGATCTTTTGCTTCCATAACCACTTTCTTTATTTCTTCCCTCAATATAGGTGGCCCTGATAATGATTCGCTTAACTGGTTGTCTTTTAGGCCTTCACGAGAATCATCGGCAAGTAAATCTGTGACATATTCTTCCCACAGCTGTTTCTTTTCATTTGCTTCTATTATGAATTTGTTTGTGTCATCGGTATATATTCCTGGAGGTCGTTTTTTATACATTCCAGATGCTTCTTTCATCTTTTTGTGTTCTTCACGCGTATTGTGTATTTGTTGCAAGTATTCAATTTCCTTACACTCCCCCTCCAGCCATTTCCTTTTAGCCTTTCTAATATCAGATCTTATTAGTGAGTTTAGTCTCTTGTATTCATCATGATTAGTGTTCTTGTGCTGTCTGCGTTTGTCCATTAGTTGTAGGATCTCGTCAGTCATCCATTTCTTTTTGCTGCGTCTTTTTTCATATCCCAGACATTCAATTGTGACGTTCTTTATGGTAGTTTCAACTGTTTCCCATACTTCCAGTGGTTGTTGATCTGTTTGGTCTTTTATATGTTCCAATTTTTGGTTTAGTTTGTTCCTAAGATCAGACTTTATCTCCTCCTGCTGTAATTTCGAGGTGTCTAATTTTCTTATTTGACCTTTGTTGACCTTGCACAAAGCTAGTTTTAGCTTTATGCTTATCGTTAGAAGACAATGATCGGATGGCACGTCGGCGCCCGGGTACGTCTGCGCTCTTGAGACGGTTGTGCTGAACCTCTTGTTAACGAGGACAAAATCGATTTGATTCCGTACAATATTTCCAGGTCTATCCTGCGGTGCCCTCCAGGTATACATATACATACATACATACATATCTTCTCGGAGGTAGGGAGAACCAAGTATTCATGATTTTAAAATGTTCTTCTTGACAGAATTGTATTAGTCTGTCTCCTCTAATGTTCCTTTCTCCCAGACCCCAAGGACCAACCACTCCCCCGATCACTTCTCCTTTGCCCACTTTGGCATTAAAATCTCCTTGGATACTGTTCAGATCATGCGGCTTCGTGTACTTTAGGAGCTGTTTGATGTCCTCATAGAAGGATTCAATTTCTTCTTCAGATTTGTCTAGGGTGGTGGCATATACTTGAATTATACTGATATTTATTGGTTTTGCTTCAATTTTTAGTAGCATTGTTCTATCATTGTATGGTATAAAATCTGTTACACCCTTGCTTAGGTGTTTATCCACGATAATGCCAACTCCGTATCTGTGATATTGATCTTCGTTGCCAGAATGGTAAAATACTGCGTCGTCAGTAATGCAACGTCCAGAGGAAGGCCACCTTGTTTCGCATATTCCTAACAGTGCTAGGTTTAGTCTTCGCATTTCTTTGATGGTGTTTGCGAGTTTTCCAGCCTCGAACAGGCTTTGCACATTCCATGATCCTATGTTAAATTTATTTTTGACTCCGGGGATTCTTAGCACCCTCTTTTTGCCGGAGACTGAGGGCCGTTCACTTTCAACTTCTTCCATGTAGTTTTCTTGGGAAAATACTTCAGTGGTTTCCCGTTGCCTTCTGAAGGGTTTGTAGTTTTCCTTCTGGTTCTCGACCGCCCCTAACATGGAGTCAGACGTCGTTTGAAGCCGCTTCTCACCTGAATAACAGACGCTTCACTAGTTTTTGGTCCGCCCCGGGTATTTCATTTCCCCGGTACCACCCATATCTGGGAGGCATTCCCCGATCCGCCACCTGGGGAGGGAGGGGCTGGTGCTATAAAAATTACTAATAATGGGAAATCTGAAGTAATGTAAATGGATTGCAATGAATTTTTCAATAGTCCGATTGTTTCTATTTATATAAAATAAACACGCTTAAACCTAGACCGTTGCTGCACGACATGATTCACATAAAGATGGACAAAAGCAGTGAATTTCCAAAAGTAATAAATTTAACGTTTTCCCTATTTTTTGTATTCTGGTGTCGATGTTTGTTTGATGATAAATGGAATTGGATGTTTTGCACAAAAAATCTGTAAATAAATTGGCCAAACCAAAACCACATCCGGATTCCTCTCATGAAATTTCTGGAGACAAAATGTCATTTAATACAAGCTTTTTCCGCTGATGGGAGCGTCCAGGAGAACATACTGGAAAAATTTGCCTGGTGGGAATAATGGTTCACCTTTTATCTGTTTTGATTATATAATTAAAAAGAAAATTCTTCGAAATTAAAAAGTGCTTGCGTTGTTCATATTTATATCCTTAGTTTGAAGAATAAATTTTTCATATTAACTTAAATTAACGACTTAGAGTTAGAAACTAGAAATTATAATTAGTTATTAATAATTATAAAACTAGAAGTAACATAACCTACATAAAATTAGTTGCCGCTTAGTAAATTAGTCTCAAATCACTTTTATATACTAGCTAACAACACGGTAAATAACACATACTAGGTTACATGGGAATTACAATGACTTTTTCAATAGTCAGATTGTTCTTCGCTATATAAAATAAACAAGCTTAAACCTAGACCGTTGCTGCACTATATAGTTCAAATAAACGCCGATACAGGCAGTCAATTTCTAAAGCCAAGAAATTTAATGCTATTCGGATTTGCAATTTAATTATTTTTTGTATTCTAGTATGTTCGTTCGATGATTGATAAATACAGAAAATAAAAAAAAATGAATCCAAACCAAATGGGATTTGTGAAGACAAAAATAAAGGCATTTTGGACAAACTTGTTCTGCTGAAGTAAACATGCAGGAGGGCATACTGGAAAAAATTTCCTGAATAATTAATGGTTCGTTTTGTATCCGTTTTAAACAAATAAATAAATATTTATAACCTTAGTCAAAAGAATATTTTTTGGAATTATTTCAAATTAACGATTTTAGAGGTACAATCAAGAAAGTATTATAATTAGTTATTAATAGTTATAAAATTAGAAGTAACCTAACCTACCTAAAAAGAGTTACCGTTTAGTAAATTTGTCTCAAATGACCCTTATGTACTAGCTAACACATACTGTGTTATCAACTATCAACTACGGATACTAAGTAAAAACCACTTAACCAACATGGCAACAGAAAATATATGACAGCGACATTTTCAGTATGGTAAACTATATGGTAAGCCTATTTTTTAAATCCAGGAAAAAATCACCTTAATGCCAGAACTCAAAAAGCTGACCTTAATAATTTTCTTTACCGCGTAATATCTCTGTTTCATGATTTACATATTTACCCAGGTTTCGCTTATGGCGGCAATATACAGCCCTTCCGGTCCCAGAAAGCAAACTGGATCTCGGGCAAAATTTCGGGCTATGGGCCTGTAATTTTCTGTATTTTCGCTGGAAGTTGGTATTTCGGAAAAAGTATTTTATTATACAGAGATCAAAGTTATAAAACCTATTTTTAGGGGAGACTTTTAAAACTCGCATGTTTTTACAATGGTTGGGCCATTTCATATAATAAAATTCATATCCAGAAAGTAACTTCATCTCTAGTATATTATTAAGATTTGATCATATAGTTTTTTTTGTTTTTTTTTTCAATCCTAACCTTACTTTGACATGAAACACCATCGGGGCGTCCTTTTTCAAACATTTTATTTAACAATACAAATTATTAAAAATATATACACGCTCAACCGTCACAACACGACATGTCTCCTAATTTTGTAAGTGGTTCGGAGTCCAGTCGTGCCTGGGGGTCCGCGACGCCGACTCGCTGGTCTCCTGTGACGTCTGCCGCGCAGCTGCGCATTCCGATTTCACGCTGTCGTAATCAGCCACGCCGCCGTCGATGCTTTGAATTTGCTCCGTCTTGTATACCACCGAAGAGTTCCGATTTCCCCCGATCTGAGCGTACGTCACGTCCTGCGCGACTGGGTTGACCAGGTATTCGGGATTCTGATAGGTCGGCACATCTTGCGGATAGTAGGTCGAATAGGAGAGGTTGGTAAGGCTAGTGACGGGCGAGTACTGGTACATCTGGTGGTTCGGGGATTGGTTCGGGGTGGGTTGGGCAGATATTTGGTGCGGCGGAGGCGGGCTCGACGTCAAAGACCAACAGTTGATGGGAGATACGAGCGTCGTGGGCGTCTGCGCCTGCATCGTCGACATCGACGACCAGCTGGCGTAAGTCGCCCCGGGCGAAGTGTAAATCTGTTGCTGCTGAATGTGTTCGGGGGGGTTGTAAACTAAAAAATAAGAGATTAAAATTGTTGCGTGAAGCACTATTAGGAAGTGTATTTGGGAGTTCTTGACTATAATAATCAAAAATCTCTTACAAGAAAACCTAGACTCTAAAGATATTTACATTATTTCAAAATTCAAGTATAGTCAGAGAGCGGTAACTCAGATAGAGCAAAAAACAGCTGAGGAAATAGAAATACGGAATGGTTCTTCTCTCTTGAAGCAAGCAAGCAAGTGTTAACTAAAGAAGAACGTATTTATTTAATAGAATGTTATGATATTGAACATGTCTGTTATCAAAACGCTATAGATATTTTTCATGAAACATTTTCTAATACGACTACGTCAAAAAGAATATTGCGAAAATTATTTAAACAGTTTAATGAACGTCTAAAATTGGAGCAAGTTCAAATAGTTTGACAAAATACTTTGAGAATCATATGCACGAGTACTGGAGAACAAAGTCGTGAAAGATACGTAAAAATTAATACTGGATCTCCAAGTGGCACGGATGAGCATTTTTCCATTCGAGAACAAGTTAGAAGACGAGGACTTCCTTTTCTATTCATTCATTGAAATAATTATCAGTGATTTTAGATAGTTGCTAAACTAAATTGGATTGTTTAATATTCAATAGAAAATTGTGTTTATTAATAATCAATGTTATATTTTAAAACTGTTTTTTCTGCCTTCCGGTCCATTTTTAATTGCACAACATTGTGGTAGTCTATGTGCTTTCTGATTTGATTCATATTATTAATGACCTTTGGATGCGCAAAGACTGAATTTGACCGTATGTAGGAAACTGTCACTATAGTTTGTTGTCAAATACGCCAGCGCCAACACAATGGATGTTGTCGCCAACATAAGACGTTAAATTAATAAGCAAATTTCTGGTTTGGGAGTCCGTCGGTTGCCCATTCTAAGTAGCTATACCACGAGTTCACAAATATTAAAATTTTGTTCATTGTTGATTCATAAGTTCTTGTGTTATCAGCCTCCGATTCTCTTAAGGAGTATGGTTATACCAAGTTGCAAGAGAGAAAAGGAAGTAGAATTCGGTAACATTAGGAAACGTTTAGATTGTTTATTTTTAACTATCATCCAATATGGAAGATTAGAAGTCTCTTTTCGTTTCCTGAAAGCACCTTAATACACGTTAACAGACCTTCCTTAAAAGCTTGCCGAACTCTAGTTAGATTTTTTCCTTGTCTCATTTTAGGTACTATATAACTTTCAGTAATCCACGTCTCATTAAGATATTTTTATATTTCGCAAGCAAACAATTTCATTGCTTTTCATTAAAAGTGCTTTACGGTATTTCCAGGTATTTTCTAAAGTGCTCAATAACAATTTTCCTATATTTTAGCGAAAGGATTGGTATTTCGGTTTTAAAATAAGAGAGGCGAACTTTTCTTCAAACTACGGTCGGGGTGCTTTTACTAATCTGGCTGAACTTTTCCGACATTTCCAAACATTTTTTCCATATTTCGTTTTGGATGTTACAGAAACTTTAATTTCGACTAGTATTATTAGTTGGTCTAGCCGGTCAATTGTAATTCTGTCATTCGGAATATTGGGGACCCATGGGAACCCATTTTGATATTTTTCCGAAGGGAAAGGAACGCAACAAGAAGAAGATAGTCTGGCGTGAAATGGTTAAACGGAATTTTGAATAGCTTCGGTTGATTGTTGATTAGCAGTTGATCTAGCGGGTCGCGGATCATTGGTTTCTCTTAAATAATCAATTAAATGAATAGAATGCCTAAGATCGCTGACATACTTATTATATTCACCGTCAGTATATTTTAATTAATCTGTCATTAATTGTTCCGTCATAGATGAAAGTAGTCAAAAATGACAAAAAATTCTATTATTAATATCGTCTTTACAATAGAAAATAGTTTTATTGCACACCTATTGATGACTCTGAGGCGGAACGAAATTTTACGGAATAAGTAACTCGCAGCTTAGTTTACTTACCTTGCGGTGGAGGTGACACCGGAGAAGCAGACTTTTGCCTGTTGAGTAGATACGGTGCCGATTTTTGTCTGGTCAACTTGGGACTGGATCGGAATTGGCAAGGCGACATCTGTCCTGAAGATGGATAAATGGACTGATGTGGAATAAACCACGACCCATCTGCAAAATATACGACTTTCCTTTACAATTTAAGTCAGTAAAAGCAACAATTTAAGGTTAAATCTGACACTCAAGTGCAAATGGGAGTTCCCGGATGTTCATTCAACTCATTTTTTTTCCATTTGAGACAGTTATTTTAGAACCCTCTTTCCATATCTACTTATAGAGGATCCATTTTCTATTGCAGCAATTTAATTTGACGTTTGGCAGAAGTAGTAACAAAATTCATAAAAGAAATTGAAGAAACAAGAAAAAATCTTACATTGCGAGTATTGCTGCTGGGTGCTGTAGTTGTGTGAATAATCACTTCGCTGGTTGTAAACGCTGTCCGGTCTTTCTTTGGCGTCCAGGAATGCTTTGGCGAACGGATTGTACTTGATTTTGAGAGAGGTCACTTCCTCGTTTTGATACGCGGTTACGGCAATAAACTGCGTTTCCGGGAACGGAAAAGTAATGACTCTTCTCGGTTCCGTTCCGACTCTGACCAAATGGACTCGAGGTTCGTACTTGTGTAATGAGTTTAGCATTATTTGACCATTTCCTAAAAGTAAAATTCGGGAAATATATATTTAGTTTAGTTTAGTTTAAATTGAAATTAAAACATTTTGACAGTTTATTTGCAATACAAGGTTTTTTGGTAAGTGAGTATTGTTTTACTGACATCATACAGCCTAATTCGTGAATCTGGCATATTTTGTTCTGTACAATTCGGTTAAGAGAAGCTATTTTTCATAACCTGGTAACGAAAACGTACCGTCTATATGTAATGTTGTTATGACTCGGTTATATTTTGTTGATAAATTGCACTGATTTATATTAATAAATACGAAATTAACCAGTATAGCTGCAAATATGTCTATTCAATAAAATTTAATAATTTATTGATAGGCATTTAAATATACAGTATATCCCCAAATTAGTAGGTCATAACAGAAAATCGTATTCTACGTCTTAAATGAACCGTAGTGTTCTAAGCAAACAAATTTTGAAAAACATCCCCTAACGAAGAATTTAATTAACATTTCCGAAACAGGTTGAGAGAAAGTTTTGAAATTTTACTAAAGTAATAAATGTCAAATTTTTGTCAGTGGCGAACTTTTAACGGTACAGGTAACAAAAACTGCAATAACTTTTTTTAAAATTGATTTTTAAACTTTTTCTTATAAAATCATCAAGAATTGAAAACCAGGCATTGGAACAGAATTGACGCGATTGTTATTTTGTCGTCAGTTTGAAATTTATGGTGTTTTTTCTTCACATTTTCTCTGAAATTCTCTTTAACTTGGGTTTTTATAAGTCTGGATAGTTTATCGAACAGAGAATTAGCAGATCCCATTTTATTTACGGATTTTGCAATGGTAACGCGCGCACCTCTGTCCGGAAGTACGAAAGACGACAAACACACCCGAGAGTCCTGGATCGTCTAGTCGATCTAAATGGAAAGACATAATTAGGGAAAATCCTCAAATATAATTAAGATCTCTGGCAGATATCACCAATATTCCGAAAACAATTATAAGTTTGCTACATTTTTATTAAAAGAAAAGGTTTCGCTGTCATTTTACAGTTTTGTGACGTAGATTTAATGAATTTCTGGTAGAGTGACCCAAATGCAAGTACTACATTCTTCAACTTAGGACCCGGAGACTTTTCAAATCATTTAGAATTTTGCCTGTGGATTCTCAACAATCAAGATATATTGGACAAAATTTTGTGGTCTGGCGAGCCAACATTTTCAACAGATAAAGTATACAGGAATTATGACCATTACCATAGCAATGACACCAAGTCTATTCTAATGACATTTGCTGGTGTCATCATTATGACGTAGTCGTCATTTTTGCTGATAATTATTATAGGTTTTGTGTCAATGATCAATACGGGCGTTTCGAACTTCCAATGTCTAAAAACGTTTTTTACTGCGACGTTTCGGCTAGCCGTTATGAAGTAAAAACTGTTCGCTACGATCGAAGCTATAATACCACCAAAAATATAGTGCATTTATTGATTTGACGTTTTAAGTATTTTACAGTACCTTCCGCAGACCCGTGGTAAAACCCCAATCCCAACAGATGTTTATTCTGCATTAAGTAGGTCTTGCCTGAGATAGACCGTAACTAATATTTGTAGAAACGTGAAATTTTTATTTGAAACGTAAATGAACCGTTTTAAATTAGACTAAGCTGAGGGGTATTATAAGTAGAATCGTTTACTTTAACATCAGGTGATATGTATCGTTCTTAAGAGTTTAATCTATTACGGCGTTATTTAACTATGATCCATCCAGTAAGTACGTATTTATGTACCTGATTCTCGAGGCTTTGGCTTTGCGAGGCTGCTTTCAATGGATAGTTCAAAGGGTAAGGGTAAGGGTACCTGTACTCCATTTATTTTACAGGTAAATTTGACGATAATCATTTTTGTCTTGTGTGCCTGTCGATTAACAACATTCTTCTTCTTGTATCTTTGTGTCTTCTATACAGCTCTTTGAGTGTTTTTTATGACTATAGATTATATTCGCCGTCATAAGATTACAGATAAATATTTATTAGAATTTAACAATTTAAAAAAAGGCCAATAGTGGTCAACACTCACAACACCGTAAAAAAAGGTTATTGTGATTAAAGTAACAAGTGTGTACTAGACGTGCCGCCTTCACATGGAAAACACATAATAATTCTTCATTCTGGGTCCAAAAACGTCAAAGATTCAAGTACGGATTACCATGAAAATTTCAGGACTAGTTTGAAAATAAACAGTTTCCAAAACTATCGCCAAATACTGTTATTGCGTTAGATAATGCCTCGTATCATTCAGCCCAAATTACAAAAATTCCAAACACTTCTTCAAATAAAGAAGAAATTAAACAATTTCTGTACCAAAATGATTTATATTTTGGAGAGAACTACACGAAGAAGCAACTTCTGGAATTATCAAAAAAAAAACATTTTAATAAAGACTATAATATCGATTCAGTAACACAACAAAACGGACATGAAATTTTGAGATTACCCCCGTATCATTATATATTTAACCCGACTGAGATGATTTGGCGCATATAGGAAGAAATAACAATCCGGCAAGAGCTAGCCACAATATCAGTACAAAGCTGATCTAATTGTGAAAAACGAGCAATAAAAGAAGAAAATATTTATCGAGAATGATTAGTATCGGAGTTCATTGAACAAAGTGACGACAGTAGCGAAAGTGACGATTTTTTAAGTAAATGACACTTATTATTATTATATTTAATATTTTATGTATTAATATACATGCTATAATGATACTATGTAGAAATATAATGAAATAGAACGTAATAAATCGTTACTTTGTACTAATTTGTTTATGTACATGCTTCAAGAATTGCTCGGCCAAAAAGATTGAAAACCTACTTATATTCGCCTTGTTAGTAAATAAATTCCTATGACGATCCTGGAACGGTCACGGGTAAGACTCTGCTCAGCAGGGTGTTCTATAAGGGGCTGCCGTTTTGAAGTAATAAACAGTAAGCAAAGTTAATCACGGGGACGGTTGTGAAAGAACTATATTTCTGGTCGAAGTACACCAGCATTTATACGGAGTGAGGAAAAGAGGGAGCCACGTTATTGGTTGGGGCAGGTCAAGGTTCCTGACGCGTGACAGTGGAGGTTGCAACAGCGTTGAGATTTCTACGCTCTACATTTGATTCTGTGGTGCACTGTCCAAGAGTGCTCTACGAGACAAGATCTATTTGTTTCTCCACGTCGGGTATGCTTCTTGTCCTCTGCTGTTCTTACATCTGCTTAAGATTTTCCACAATCGCAGGGGACTTCATAGGTTTTGTTATGTGTGGTGTTCTCTGGTTTTGTTTTCGTTATTAAACTTCTTATAGTATGCTAACAACGAAAGGCGGTTGTGATATATTTTGTTGCAATTCTCCTTATCTTTTCGGAAACCTCTTTAACCTAGGGAATGGTCATTAGTTGCTTTTGGCAGGGCTTTGATTTATGTGCTGCTTGGAATTGAAACTTCGTCTTCAATCAGTCTCTTTGAATAGCCGTTTTATTTTAGATCTTCTTTAATTCGTTCAACTTCATGGTCAAGTAGAGCTGGGTTCTTCGTTTGGTTGTTGCTGAGTAGTTAGATGGTACGTTTAAGCATTGGACTGTATGTGTTGTTTTCTGTACACAGATGCAATAATTTGAACTGAATGCTATCTGCAATGATGTGTTTAATGCGATCCAGTAAAGGTTATAACTGTTTCCGATCTTTGTCCCGTATTATGAAGGTGTCGTCGACATATTTCAACCAACGTTTAGGTTTGTTAGTTGTTGATTTGATAGCTCGAACCAATCCATGTAAATATTTGCTATCAGTATTAACAAGCCATCGTCTTATGCGTAGAAATGTTCTTTGAATTGAAAATACGAATTGCGTAGGGAGCAATCCAATGGTTCCATGATGCTGCTTTAGTGGTAGAAGTGACAATGTTAAATATTCTTGAAGCTTTCTCCTAATAATCGCTAGGGACGAGACCAAAGGTACGTAGTTGAAAAGACTTTCTACGTCGAAATTGAAAAAATAATCTCCCTGATTTAAGGATGTTGTTTTAATTCTTTCGACCAAATGAGCAGAGTTCTTGGCGAATTACTGTGATTTTATCTCCAACATATATCTGGCCAACTCACTTGTTGGCGAATTTCTGGAACTTGTAATTGGCCTGAGGGGCATGTCAGGTTTGTAGATCATTGGCAGATGTGGTAATTTGCTGTGGTGTGGTGCGATGTGTGATTTTTGCTAATTATTTTGTGAATTCTTCTTTCCAGTAACAACACTCTTAAATCAGGAGGATTATTTTTTTTAATTTAGTAGTAGCAAATATTTACATTGAAAGGTTCGAGGAAGAAGCTATCAAATCAACAATTTACAAACTTAAATGTTGGTTGAGATATGCCGACAGTTTCATAATATGAAACAAAGACTGGAAACAGCTGGAACATTTCCTGGATCACCCCGTCAATAAAATTCACAACGAAAAAAGAGAAAAACGGAACAAGACCATTCCTCGTTATCTTGGTCACGAGATTGGATTCAGCTCAGATTAATAACTCCGTCTACAGAAAACCCACACATACAGGCCCATATCTAAACGTATCAGCCAACCACTCAACAACAACAACAAAAAAAGGCGTCATTTCTAAGTTTCAATATGATACAACACATAAATTAGAGCCCAGCCGAACTAACTAAACCAAAATTAACCAAATAATGCTCATTCCCCATGCTAATGGAGTTTCCGAAAATATCAGGAGATTGGCAACAAAATACAACGTCAAAACCGCTTTCCATTGTAGGCAAACTATAGGAAATTTATTAACGAAAACGAAACCAAACAACATCATAGACAACAAAAAATGAATATATGAATTGCCCTGCGAGTGTAGAAAATCTTACGTAGGTGAAACGAATCAAACACTACATGTAAGGATAGGAGAACACCAGAATATGGAGAAACAAATAGATCTGGTCTTCCATAGCACACTTCTACAGAACATCACAGAATCAAATGCACAGACCTCAGAATTCTACAAAAACTATTAGACAATGGAAGTTCGAAACGTCAACATTGATTAAAACCAATCCCTGTCCGCCTTTAGGGAAACTTTTCTATCAATGTTTGGCAGGTATCATAATTAATATATATGGAATAAATGCGAATGCAAATATTTCCCATACGTACTGGCTTGGAAAAGTTCTTTCAACATGATAGAGTATTCACTTGGTGTAAGAAATTGGTCGAAATACAATTATAACGAGTAGATTAAATGATATGATGTCATTTCAATAACACACTGTTTGACTCCTATTATTTGAATCCAACAAATCAATCACCAGTGAAAATATTGCCCTATAATTATGCAACCAGTTTTTCTTACAAATACGTATTTTGATTTAAATTCACATTACATATTTTTGCGGGATTTGGAAGCCAAAATTATATCAAATAATAATAATAATAATATAAAAAAGTTAAAAACTAATCCAACTTGCGACTTGAAGTTTTTTTAGGCAAATTTTTATTCTCTATTTTATCGGAAATGTGTGAATTTAAATCAGTAGCTATTCCACAGGAGTGTGGCTTCCATAAATACTAAAATACAGAAAAAAACACTTCAATGTATATTTAATTAATTTCGCCATTTGTTTCATTGATTGATAGGACTTTCTTGTCACTTTCTATTCGAACGCTTGGTTATCTATACAGGGTGCTTCAAAACAAAAGCGAAATACTTGTTTAAGTTTGTTATATAAATGTTGGGTCAAAAGCCAACCATTAGCAATAATGCTTTCATTTTTATCTTTAAAAAAAAATATTGCGAAAGTACTAGTACTGCTATTTAGTATTACTAAATGGGTGTAGGGACATAAAAACTTGAATTAGGAGTTTCTTTGACGATGCTTACATTCAATTTCTTCAGATAATATGTAGAGGGTGACTATTTTATGCAATACATTTTTTGTTAGTGCCGCTCCGTTACTTTTTTTTTTCAAAATCATGGCAGAGTGATTATTTCTTAGCCAAAAACTTACACTATTTTTTTTTCGACTAAACATACGGTTTTCCAGATCTCTGCATTGTAATTCTTTAATTCGAGTAAATCGCTGTACCAAAACAAGTTTATTAAGCACATTAACTAAATAAAACATCTTTGCCCGTTATTTCAAAACGGAAAAAAAATAGTATTGTATTATATTTAATGGTAACTACCATAAAATGGTTCTTTATTAGTTTAATGTAATAATTAATGCGTTTAAATACTTCAAATAGGACAGAATGCTTTAAAAAATAAATTTTAAAAAAATTCCCACGGAATGCTAGTGGAACTTCGTGGAATTCCGCGGGAATTACTTGGTGTACTCCTTTAGCTCTGCAGTTTACAATTTATTACTGAAAAAAATATTATTTGGGATTAAATTTGAGATTAGAAATGTTCGTGCGAAAAATTGCTAGATGTTTCAACCTCGCTTAAAGAGCAATTTTTGCACATTACCGTTATATTAAAAAAACTTTTCATTTGTCTGTATAAAGGAACAGTTTTACTTTCTAGTGTTTAAGTTCAATGAATCAATTACCAGTTAAAACATTGGACATGATTATGCAACCAATTAAACACTGACGGACTTTTGGTTGTGGAGAAAAGCGAACCCTGCTCGCCGTTTTGAATTCAATTTTAAACGATCCTTTGCAAATATGCTTATTTGAAGTTAATCCTAATCATTGAAGAAGGCAACAATACATTTTCTTTCGCTTACCGTTCGATTTGTTGGTAAGTTTGACCTTGGCGAACGATATTGACTCTTTCATCCAATGCGCCCCGAAATTTGGCGACTCCGGGTGAATGTAAATGGGATTCGAGGGTGGTACTTCGGCTTTTCCACCCGGTACCCATTCGCCGTTCACGTACTTCCATCGATGCGGATCGATTTGAACGAATTCCAACAGTACCGTGTACATCGCTTTGGAGTCTAACCCGTTAGCACTCACTTTTACCACAGGAAACATTCTTCTGAAAGCAATAGATGATTTTAACGCCATCTCTCGTCATTCTTGTAAGTTTTGTGCTAAATTTACAATTAAGAGTAGTTTAATCTTAAGATTGGGCATTTGGGTTTAATTTAATGAACTTTCATGGTATTATTTTTCACCTTGAACACAGTCAAAAACGTTGAAATAAGGTGGAACGTTATCAAAATATTCTTGACAATAATACCCGAAAAAGCTATTTTCTATTATGTGCACTAAACGATCCACAATAGACCTATCAATTTAGTTTCAACCTTGATTTCGGTTAAAAATCTGTTTTTGATTATGCGCGCACATGCAAACAACATGTGCAAACATTGTTACTTAAAAAATACAAAAGGAACAACATTTTAGGTGAGTAACGTTTCTGAAAGAGACGCCGAATATAGATTTCAGCCGAATTTAACAATATTTTTTGTTTGCCTCGGGTCTGGGTCCTGAAGAAATATTTGCATTTTAACCCGCGGAATACTTTTTATGGATTTTTTGTATCCATAAAAAATATTCCTTTACATTTTTAACGACGAAAACACACTGAAGTGCAGAAACTTGTTTGCAGTGGTTTTCATCCGATAATAAATTAAATTTCGATTGAAATTCTGCCCAACGTATTTTTCTGTGAACTGGAAGCCACAATTATATCTAGTAATAATAATATAAATAGTTAAAAGCTAGTCCAACTTGTTAATAGATTTGATTTTTTTTATTCTATTCGGTATTTCTTCAGAAATGCTCGACAGAATTTAAATCAGCAGTGGTTCCATAGGGAGATGTGTTCCATAAATACTATCCAAAAATACAGAAAAAAATTTCAGTCCATATTTAATTAGCCATTTTATGGTGTAATATAATTTAATTCTTTTGACTAAAATAATAAGATGCTTATGTCACTTTCCATTTGAACTCACGGATATCTGTCCAGAGTGTTTCAAAACAACTGCGAAAATCTTGCCGGGATGGTTCCTTGTTTAAAATAAAGGTTAGTATGTTATATAAACGTTGGGTAGATAATGTTTTTAGTTTATATCTCAAAAACAAAAATAGATAGAACTATTAAGTGTTACGGAAATACTATTAATATTAGTGAATATTACTAAATGAGTGGAGGGTTAAATTGACCTACCCCTATCATTTTCTTAACTAACCTTAAGGGAAAACTTATGTAATGACAATAAAAACTTTCCTTTTAATTTTATTTAGAAACTTTTTCGTCTCCTGCAATGTTTTCATAATACTTATCGTTTTCAAATAAAAAAATATAATCCAATCCAAAATATATTATTTTATTTGCCATTACTTATGCAGTTCGCAGAGTTTAAATTCAACAATGATGAATGACACTAATGCGGGAATGGCAGATATACATTTTATGTTCGGATGAGCAAACGAAAATTCCGTGAAAGCACCAATGCACACCCTGTATATTGCAACTTATTGTAATTACTATATTTTCATATAACCTTCAAAATATACAAATATAAATTAATTAGATTAATATAAATATAAATTTTTATTAATCTGATAATTGTCAAACAAAATTGACACAGGCTCATATTAGTAAAAATATCTCGTAAAAGAAGCTTGAAATCAACATTTTTAGATAGGGCAATTCATCAACCTATAACTAAAACTACATTCGTCCAAAAGCACGTTTCGGGGTCATAGGGCAACATCAATCATTATTTTTCATTATTTCTTTGAGATGTTTGATAAAAATCATACATAAACTGTGCGTAAAAAATATATCTTAAAATACACTAAAAAATTATTAATAAATGAAATTATTTACAGTGTTACATAACTCTCTAAACAGTACATGTAGCACTGGTCCCGAGGACATTCTAAATCTATACCGAGTCTAAATAGCTGGCAAGGCCAAAAGGAAATATACGACTGGTAAATAATACCATCAATTACAGAAGCGAAATATTAGTATTCATCATATCGTAACCAGAAACTGAAAAAAATAATTTAGTAATATGCGTTACTTATTAGTACAGAAACGGAAACGCGTAACCCAACCTCACAAGAGTCGCAACGGGACCTTTAGCAATAACCCAAAATTAATCAAATATTTATAATTTATTTTTTCTTTTGTTAGCTCGACTTAATTTCAATTAATACGAGGTGTGTTCAAAAAGTAAGGTGATTCTTAAGTTTTATCAAAAGTATTTATTTATGCTAACGTTTTTTCCAATCCTCGAAGCACTTCTGCTAAGCACTTTCTGGTATAGCCTTGAATTCTCCAGCGATTTTTTCTTTATCTCCTCAATCATGTCTTTCATGGGTTTCTTGAGTATTGGGAACAGGAAAAAACAGAGGGCCGATGAATATGGGGGCTGAGACATGATTATGGTTTTGTTTTAGGCGAAAATTTTAGACGCAAGCAACGATGAGTGAGCATTATCGTGATGAAAAATCGTTGAATTGTTTCCCACATATCCAGACATTTTCTTCATATTGCTTCTCGCAAAAGGCACTTAACTTTAAGTTAATACTCTTTATTGACCGTACCACCTTGTGGTAAGACCTCTTGATGTACTACGCCCCGATAATCAAGGAAAGCGGTATGCAAAACCTTGACGTTTCATCGGACTTTACGTTCTTTTTTCGCTCTTGGCGATTCTGGGTTTTTCCATTGGGACTGGGCTTTGGTTTCGAAGTTGTAACCATATACCCGTGATTCGTCACCAGTTATGACCTTTTTGAGCACATGAGGATCATCATTGACGTCGTTCAACAGCTCTTTCGAGAGTCCTTTTGTTCAAAATTACTCAGTTTCGGAACAAATTTTGCTGCTACATGTTTCATGCCGAAAACTTTGCAAAAAAAATTGCATAGTACGAGCCCCTAGAGATGCCGGCGGCTTCAGCCACTTTTCTAATAGTGATTCGACGATTTTTCAACACCATTTGTTTCACTTTTTCAACAGTTATTGACGCGCTGGGGCGTCCAAAGCGAGGTTCGTCTCGGTCATCTTCAAACAACTTGTACCACTTATAAATATGTTTTATCAACATTTCAACAGTTTTGCAGGACTGTATTCGATTTTTTATGCAAATTCTTTGTTCCATTTTTATTTACATCAGAAAATCGCCCAGCACACAAAAGATGTCTAACGCTCCTGTCTCACAAAAAAAGGAAATATGCAAACTAGCTGAAACTGGGAACATATGTTAGGGACATGTATACCAACATAACAAAAAAAGATCGAATGTACGTAGCCCGCCCAATTACAAAAGTCACCTCACTTTTTGAACACATCTCGTAAGTGTGAATGTCTCTCGCAAAGACAAAATTTGTGTTGGATTCTTATGTGTATTTATAACTTTGTACATACATGGTGACCCAAACTATTCCAGCATATTCTATTTCCAAAATAAGTCCTTTGTATATTCCAGTCTAGTATATCTGGCAACTGGACATGAAAATGGGGTTTTAAAAATATTTCCGAAACAGCTTGGAGAAAAGCTTTGAAATTTTAGCCATGCTGAATATGATTCTAAAGTATTCTAAAATTATAAATGTCATATTTTGTACTGAGGGATGTAACTTTTGAGTCGTACAGATAACAATGACTGCAAACACTGTTTTGTGGGTTGACTTATAGGCTCTTTCCTTATAAAATAAGAAATTGCGAGAAAAAGGTAAACTCATTGAACTTTTTTCGAGGAATTCAGGTTGCAAAAATACCCTGTTTAGCATTTCCATTTTATTTATTCATCAAAAAATTGAAAGGTAGACCTTGAAATCAGATGATTTGCTAACACAAATTCACATTAAGTCCTCAAACACATTTCCATTGTTTTGAATACATGGTCGTGATCTTATAGTATTCCAAAATGCATGAAGAATTTAAAAATGATTATGTCTAATTTGATTTCCAGCAACAGAAATTTGCCGTCGTGACTCTTCTGGACTATCTGCTAGAACATATCTAAACGAGTACATATGGGAACAATCTTTAACAACTCGGTTAGATCATTTGTGGGAAAATTTAAATAAACATTAATCTCTTTAGTGAAATAAATAGATCTATTAACTTGATAGGAAACGTAATCGACACTTGGTTAGAATTGCGAAAATGGCTCGTCAGACCATAAAATTTTCTCCAAAATATCGGGATTCTTCAGAATTCACTAGCAAAATTTCTGGACGATTTGGAAAGTCTTCGAATTTTAAATTCTGTTCTGGTTCTGTTTTAGGTAATGGAAAGATGTAGTTCTTGCGTTTCGTTATTCCACCTGGTTAAAAATCTATAAAATCTATAAAACTAACCAAAACTATTTCTCTGTTCTAAATCGCTAAAGACTTATAAAAACAGTTAAAAAAAGCTTCACTAAGAATGTGATCAAAATACCACCATAAATGTCAAACTAAACGTAATCAGCAATCCCTGGGAAATTTTCAAAGAAATCAGACAAGACACAAATTTCAGTAAACAAGCAAAGTAAACTTTTAATACGATCAGTGTCATAGATGTAAATAGTCATTGCTTATCGAATAAAGTTGACGAGCTTTCTGTATATTTGAAAAATCACAAATTTCTAGTTGTTTTGTTAGTATGAACACTGGCTCAAGGAGGAGTATTAAAATGCTTAATTTTAACATTGTTTCATTTTGGTGATGTTGCCGTGTTTATCCATTAGGATGTGTGTAACCAGTTTGGTCCTGTTGAGTGTAGTTAAAAACAAAAATTAAAAATCAATAATAAATAACTATATGTCCTGCAGCACTGATTTTGACATACTCTTGGGCATGCTGGGATTTTACCCTAGTATCTACAACTAGTAAAACCTGTATTGATAGTATATTAACAAACTTGCTCTATTACACTAAAGTTATAGATCCTTGTTTTCTGACCACTTCGCGCACATTATAGCGATGCAGGTATTTAACTTATAGGACAGCAAAATAATCTATAGAAGTTATCATAAATGATAGGATAAACTTTCATGTTAACTCTGATGTAGAATTCCTCTCTTTCTTCCTCCCTTCCTGGTCCTCCATTATGAACAGAATAAAAACAGAAAACATTTTTTAAAACAATTATTTTTTAAAATAATTACGACAAGGAAGTTTAAAACCTGCATAAGCTCATGTCATGGCTTCAAATGCCTTAATAAATATAAAAAATTACGAATCTGATGATTTTAATAAATAAATAATAAAATTAAGCACTGCACTGAACAAGTGATTTTACCTTTAGCTCATCTTTTCAACTCATACATCTATCTCTCTAATCTAATCTATCTAACAAATGTGATATAGAGGATGTAATAATTATCGCTCCATCTCTCATTGTTGGAAAATCGGTTAAACTAGTCCTGAAGCCTCATATTGTTAATTATCTGGAACCCAATAATCTCCTTAACCCTAAACAGTTTGGCCTTAGGCCCAGCATATCCGCTATAGATGCTATAACTTTAGTCGATGCGTGTTCATCATTCTCTCAAACTAGAATGTTTTTATGGTTTTAGGAGACAGGTACTGAAACCAATCTCGCACAGCGAAAACCAGTATGTCACAAGTCAGGGAACTAAACTTTTGCGTGCACCTCATCTTAAACTCTCCCCGATGATATTTTTGTATGACTATCTATACTAGATTTCTACTACTACATTCATTTAAAAGGAAGGTAGGAGAATAGTTGATTAAAATTGCTTTGGGCGAATACATGACGGCACATCCAATTTAAAATGTTTGGACGGTTTGATTGTGTTTGTTATTTACAATTATTTATGTATCTACCGGACGTGTATAAAACGATTGTATTGTTTTTTTTTTTCGGGTTAAACAGTTACTGAATTTCATGTATTTTATCTTCTGGTCGCACACCGCGCAATATTAATGCTGCATATTGCTGGTTAAACCTTCCGAAACATACGCGCTAAATTTACAAAAAGTGCGATTTCTAAAAAAATTGATAAATGGGTATTTTTTTTCTAAGGCAGCCCTTCGGCGAGGGGTTAAATTAAAATTAATGATCGCTAACGTCTACGAATTTCAGCAACTGAGGCAAAGAACCCCATTGCTTTTAGATTATATGACTCTGTTAAACTCGACATATGTTTATACAGAAAACTAGGCACGTCAGATAAACTATTTTTTTGGAGAACAAAAAACAAAATGTAATCGTTTACATTAATTCTTACACATTGTCCCTAACTATAGTGCAAACAGAAAAGGCAAAATTTTAGAAGTTTTAATTCTGTTTTTCTCGAATTCTACAAATATCACTTAAGCCCTTTAAGAAATAATTATCTATTTCCAATGTTGATATCTTTTAAACCGCAAAATAACTGGATGAAGTAAAAAAGTTTTTCCAAAATGCGAATGTAAAAATGATAATAGTCGAACATTATTTTTCCTAATGTATAGATCAACTAGTGAGCGAAATGTTTTTCAAAAAATTATTTTAAAGGATACAGGTGACAGCACACAACTAACTTATTTTTCTTTTTGAAATGACAAAACTAAATTTTACGAACAAACTTGCAGGTACAACATTTTTCATAAGGTTAAATTTAAATTTAGTTAAGAACGATCATATTACAATCTCCTCCAGTGATTGTAATAAAATAAAAACCAAAAAATAAAAACATTATTCGGCATAAATTGACCAAACCCGGATAGTATTATACTAAATAGAAATAAAGATCACTCTGCAGTCGTTTGCCATGCCTGATGAGTTTCTTCCTTACTGTAATACTGCCGTCATAAGCCAAACCCCTATACCTAACAGAAATGAAATATTTGACTTTGTTTGACCTTTCAACTTGTTGAATGTTTCCAACGTAAAAATAATCTAATCAACAATTTTGATTATATTATATTTGATTACAGAAAGTGCCATTTTGTGCTTGCTTTTTTCGCTCGGTTCTAGAAAAATAAATTTACAGAAATTTCTCGGCTCGGAGTAGATAAAACTTACGCTATCATAAAATGTGTGGGAAAAAGATGGTGAATTTTTTGCACTCAAATCAGAGAATTAGAAAATGGAGAAAATAATACACCTGAGACCCAAAAAGGAATTGATTCAAATTTTGAAATGCGATCAACGTATAGGTATAGCTTTAAAATTACTGTATCTTCAAGTAACGATTCCTCAAACAAGAAAAGTGACAAGAAATATATGAGACATGAAATATTGAACATGAAAAATGCTGTTGCCACATTAAGTTCTATTATTCTTCTATTCTTTTATTTTCGAACTTTGCACTATCAAATAGAACTCTCTATGAAGGAAAGATACATGATTTTACTGATTTTGCTGATGCTATTCAAAATGATAATGATGAGAGAACTGAAGTAACGCAAATGAATTGCAATGACTTTTTCAATAGCCAGATTGTTCTTCGCTATATAAAATAAACAAGCTTAAACTTAGACCGTTGCTGCACGACATAGTTCAAATAAACGCCGATACAGGCAGTCAATTTCTAAAGGCAAGAAATTTAATGCTATTCGGATTTGCAATTTAATTATTTTTTGTATTCTAGTATGTTCGTTCGATGATTGATAAATACGAAAAATTAAAAAAAAAACAAATCCAATCCAAATGGGATTTGTGAAGACAAAAAGAAAGGCATTTTGGACAAACTTGTTCCGCTGATGCCAACATGCAGGAGGGCATACTGGGAAAAATTTCCTGAATAATTGATGGTTCGTTTTGTATCCGGTTTAAACAAATAAATTCTTTGAAATTAAAAGCTGCTTACTTTGCGTTGTTCATATTTATAACCTTAGTCAAAAGAATATATATTTTTTGGAATTATTTCAAATGAACGATTTTATAGGTATAAACAAGAAGGTATTATAACTAGTTATTAATAGTTATACAACTAGAAGTAACATAACCTACCTAAAAAGAGTTACCAAATGACCCTTATGTACTAGCTAACAACACGGTGAATAACACATACTCTGTTATCAACTTTCAACTACGGATACTAAGCACAAACCACTTAACTAACATGCCCACAGAAAATATATGACACAGTGAAATTTTTACTATAGTAAAGTATTTTTCAAGCCTTTTCCCTAAATTGACGAAAAAATCTAATTGATGCTAGAATTCAAAGAAGTGACCTTTAAATAAATTTGACTCACCCCATATTCATACAGCTTGGCTTCAAACCAATTTTTCAATCAATTTTTCTATATAGTGCAATAAAAAATATTTCAAAAATACCAATGTAAAAATCGCGATATTCAAATTTCATTTTTCTATACTTTTTTGAAACTTTTTCAACAACAAATAATTATCTATTTTCAGTTTCAGTATCTCTCAAACCACAAAATAGCTGACCCGTGCCAGAAATTAATGCGTCGTTAGTCTCACCACTGCTGTCGCGCTGTTAGCAAGCAAATATTAATTAACGCAATAAAGGAGTGTTAATTTTGTTAATTTTTTGGTTAGGAAAAAGTCAAACGTCTCCTTAACGCAACGAATCGCTTTTCAGAATCGTACCTGCCGCTTTTCGTCACGATCATCTCGTTAGTAAAACACTGGAAGCGGACCCATAGATCGCGGTCGTCCAAGGATATCGACACATCCCTATCCGAAGAATCGCCCTTTTCCTTGATGGAGGTTAGTTCTGTGTCAACCGCAGACAGGATATGTTGGGCCATCGGATCCCTGAAAGTATATTCATTCACTCGGTCACCATTGTTTCATTTTTCTTTTTTGAAGCTATTTTACCACACCCCGTATATAGCTAAATATATATATATATATATATATATATATATATATATATATATATATATATATATATATATATATATATATATATATATATATATATATATATATATATATATATATATATATATATATATATATATATATATATATATATATATATATATATATATATATATATATATATATATATATATATATATATATATATATATATATATATATATATATATGCAAAGCTGCCAAAGCTGGTAAAATGAAATTCAATGCCAGCTCGTTTTTATATTTTATAATTCTAAGAAAATCTTTCTAATAGTAATAGTAAATGAAGTCATCGTGTCTAGATTGAGCCCGAAAAATAGCGATTATCATATGAATTTTTCAAATATCGCGAGCAGAGTGAGAGATGAAAACCGTGAATATAAAAAAATTCTGTTTAAACCAAATCGCCATATAACTTATTCCCGAAAAAATTAATTTTCAAACATTTTTCAAAGAAACTTCCACAGGGTACTGTAATACTTTTCATAAAATTTCTGGCTTCCTCCTGAGTCGGTTTTTGTTTAGTCGAACTTTCTAACGTTTCGCCAATGATCCTGTTACCTTCTTCAGTTTCAGACACAGGAAGAATCCAGAAGTTTTGTGAAAAGTAATTTTCAAACATTTTCTTCTGATAGCAAAAATAATCCAAAAAAGTTTTAAAAAAAAATTAGAAAATACTTAGCGATATTTGATAGCATCTAGTTTACTACAGTTTAGATTTCTTCTCCGTCAATTTTGAAGTGGATAGCTGGAAATTTAGACCAATTAATACTTTTCTTAACATAGCAGGGAATACCCTGAACAACTGGTGAAAACCTTAATTACCAAAAGCTTTAGCAGTTTGTACGGGCTACAACGTTGTGCAAAATAAATGGATTAACAAATCGCTGTCTTCAAGTTGGCCAATCTTCAGTATTTAGCGAATACCAGGCACACCCTGTATATTTTTGTAAATTATTAAGAATAAAACTCTACAGCATGGTCCAATAAATTTTTCTATAATTCAACGGGGGGAATTGATTTTTTTTTCATCCATTTTGGAATTTTGGGAAAGTAGCAATAAAATTATGAACTGTAATGTAAAACTGGTAGACCTGACAACAGTGCTGTTAGCATTAATGAATTTTACAAGCTCAAGAATTGAATTTTATCTTTCCAGCTTTGGCAGTTTTGGTTGTATTTAATCGTTGCAAACAGAATTTCTTTGCTAGTTATCGTCATTTTTTCAATTGTCCTTTTTTAAACTTTTATACCGCATCCTGTATATAGCCAAAAAACGCACAATTTAAACATTTAACATTTCAACAAGTGCTTGCCTAATTATCATAAAAACAAGTTTTAAACTACAACTAAGCGCATAGCTACTTGAGCAAGGTTTGAGAAAATATTTATGAGTGTTTATTGTTAAAATTCAAATATTGATTTGATATACGGATTACAGCGAAAAAGTTTCTCAAAAATGTAATTGTAAAAATGTGTATCATTTTTTCTTTTTTTTAAATTTTTTTACCAAACCGGTGTAGAATCAAAAAAACACAAATTTAAACCTTACCTGGGTAGTTACCAAAAATTAAGTTTTTAAACTAGTTTAGAAGGTTTTAAGAAATGAATCCTCTGACAATGCGAAAAAATGTTGCATATATTTATATTGCGGATTTGTTTAGAATACGTTTTCGAAAACCTAATTAAATAAAACATAGTGATGCTAAACAGACGTAACAAACTTAAGGGCGTGATTACAGAAGCATCACTATTAAAAAAACATACTTTCTACATATTCCTTTAAATCATTCTTCTTAATTGAAGGAATAACTTGTGCAATGCCAAAAAATACATATATTTTTTTATTTTTCATAATAGATCAACTTGTTACAAAAATTAATAACTCATTTTCAAAATGTAACTGTTTACAAGATAATTCACACAAAATACAACCATTTGACAACTAAATCACTTTTGCAAAACATATTTTTTTCAACATGCATTTACATTTTTTTACAAACTGTAAGTTCTATGAAAACATTGCAAGAGACAAAAATTTGCATAAGTTTTTCTTTAAATTTAGTTATGATTAGTTTTGGCTAGTTTTGGTTAGTCTTGTTTTTGTTAAAAGAACCATAGGGATAATTTTAATCAATTGCCTCCGCTGACTTTAACAATATGAAAAATAAGCAGAAAGCGCCACTATATAATAGTAACACTTTCTTAATATATGTTCTCGATTTGAGAATAAAAAATAAATACATTATTTGACATAAAGCCACTCAAACCCGGATAGTACTACCTGACCTAAATGTAAAGAAGATTATTCTGTAGTCCTCTTCCATACCTGATAAGTTTTTTCCTTACTTCAGTATTTAAAGCCTATTGGGCTTTAAATACTGTGTTTTGACTTACCCTATATGACTAATTCATAACAACGCCGCAGCTTGGCTTCCAATCACTTTTTTCTGATTCTTTTCACACTAACTTATTAAAACCTTTCTAATTCTCTTATAAGAAATTTGGACTTGACACCTTCTAAAAACTAATCTTTAAAATTTCTACCCGATTTGAGGTAAATGAAAATTTTCTAAAATTAATCTCGATTTTCAACACCCCCTAACCTTTTTAAACGGCCCTTCGTGTATAGCTTACGCAACTGTTAATCTATACATTTATTTTACGATTTTAATGCTTCATATTTAACTTGCGTAATATCTTTCCGATTGAGCTTTTCGATCCGCCCAAATACGTTTTCGCACATCACACCTTCGCCGACGCTGAACTCGATCGATAAAACGCACGTCATCGTTCGAAACTTGATCCGGTGACGTCACAGAAATGAACCCGCGGGAAAACACGTAAGAAAGACGACATCTGGTACGGTACCAGGCACGCCGGTGCGGGCGCGTACCGATACTATAATTACGGAACAAAAATGTTTTCACACGAATTAGGAAGTTTTAAAACTACTGGTCGCCATACGCATACACGTCACAATGGGAAAATTAGCAAGTCCGACGGTACCGTGACGACACCGTGTTTATTATTCATCCTTAACCGATAGGGTACACAGAATTAAGATAGTTGTAATTATGGTTTCAATTATTATCATAAAAACCGTTTTTCTAATACGAAAAGTCAACCTTTTGCGTCACAGCGTCAACATTCGTCGATTAAGTGGACCATGCGTGTTAACTACGTTTAGCGTAATAAGCGAGGATGGTTTTTCTGTGCCTTGCCCCGAATTCAGGTTTTGGATAGATGAATGATGGATTAAAATGAAAGAAAAAAGCAACCACATTTTAAAGAAGCTTTTGGTATTATATCCTCAAAAGTCGAAAAAATATTACCACAAAATAAATTTTTCGGAAAATTTCACGCCAGTATGTATTTTATCGGAAATCTCCTTATCCTACCTGCAAGAATAATAAATGGAACTTTCCCCGGCTTGACAGCTACAATCAAAATAGTGCCGTAACTATTTTAAAACGGGTTTTTTAACGAAGTTTTCCTACCGAATCTCCATGGTACAAAAGTGCTGAAAAAGCCGCCAAAAGAGTCATTAGTTAAGTAAACAATTATCAGTCGGCATTTCTGAAAAAACAGTCTGAATTTCTAATTTGAGTGAAACATTAGACGTACAGAGTGATTCATAAAGATCCTCTAAATTGTAGGTACGAAAAGTTTTCTCGGTATGGTATACGAAATGTACCTGTTTTTTCGCACACAATGTGTTGAAGAGAATGGTGAACTTATTATATATTAAAAATGTACTATTTTGGGTTTTTCTACTCTAAGGTATTATATGGACCACAATTGCAAGAAGTGCCTTAATTTTAGAAAAAAGGCAAATGAGTATTAGTTGAAGCGGCTTACTGCCAATATTGTATATAGTTGTACTATACTGTTAGAAATCCATAAAAAAAAATGGATCTACCTTTCCTCCTAAAATCTACATAACTATCACTTAATAAATTGAAATCATCATATTCTTAAATTTAAATAAACCAAATGTAAGAAAATCTATCCGCACTTCAAGAAACTGTCTTGTTGATAAAATATATTTTAAAATACCTGTTATATTTGTCTGATTTTGGTGATAGTTTTTTACTGTTTGTGTTTTATTTATGTATTTTTTATTTAATATTTCTTTGCCCATTAATAATCTTCTTTTTTGACTTACTATAATATACCTGTAAGATTGCATACAGTCAATAAAATTCTTTTCCAGACACCAAAATATTATGAAATTCCAACATTTGATTTGATTTTTTATTACCAAAATTGTTATTGTTGAACATTTTTTTTATTGCTTCTTGTACGTTTCATATTTTAAGGATATTTTCAAATGCAAGTCAAGGTTTGGACGGACTTTCTAGGAAAAATTGAAAATTCTTTAAGATTTCCATCATTTTTAACCAGAGCTCTACAGATAAACAAAATATGATTCGATTTATCTAAATAATATGGTAAAACTAGGGCCCTCTAGAAGGAACTTCCAAATAAGTCTCAAATTCGTAATTGTCATATTAAAATTCTAATTTTTAATATTGTGCTATGGAAACTTCCTCAATTAATGAATATTTCGCAACGTCTCTTACAAGAAACCTATGCCAGAATTTTCGACTTATTGTTGAGAAAAATTGACTATTTCATAAATTCTTGGCTTGTTTTTCATAAATTCGTTTCTCAGAAATTATCAGTTAAATTGGAAATTGATATAATTAACCTAAAACTATATTTTAATTTTGATCAGTTTAGTTTTAGTTTGGCACAATTGTCTAGGATCAATAGTAATAGTAATAGTAATTAAGTTATACAAAATAGAAAAGCTCTTAAACAGACATTTTTTGTTATCATTTCGTAATAAATCAGATGTATAATAATAATTACATATTATACTTATTACTACCAATAGATGTTATAATTAGACACTGTTTCTGGTATATATTTAATCTTCTTTTGATTTTTAGCGATAATTTTATAGCACCATTTACTATTAAACCTAGTGCAGAAAGCGTTCTTTGTTTTGATACATTTCCTAGGAAATTAGATATAAGGTAATGATAAGCTTTTTCCAGTAAAAAGCTGCGGCTTTAAAAAATTCTCCCAAATTAATAAACTGAGCTAGCCAAAACTTATTTACAATGTCAACAAATTAAAAAGTTTATTAAAAGAACAATTTTTTGTTTTCAAAATACCTTGACGCTAAAATAATAAAATTAAAGATTACAAAAAATAATAAAATTAATTTGCATATGAGATATGTGAAGGTAAATTGAGTTGTATTTTTTTTTAATGAAATCTCGTGCATATTATGACATTTTTGATTTCTTCGATCATAATGAGTTTTTGTTTAATGGTACCCAAACTTTAAGGTTTTTAACATGTGAATTTTGTTAAAATTTAACATAATTTTAAAGTTTCAAATATTTAAATATTAATTGCGTTATATAGTTTCCTAATATACTTTTATTGCATCCAATTGCTTCTACTGGTTTAGAAATGTGTACCACCTACCACGCCTACTATACCACACTAGTTTCCTGAAATGAATGTATCTATGGATAGGGACGCTTAAAATGTCAAGAATTGGTGTTCCATTTTACATTTTCAATGATAAGTTGTATGCCCTAATAAAGGCAACGAGTTTCTAAAATAGCCACCAGAGGGCTTAATTGCCAGCTGGATTTTGAAAACTCATTTTCTACCAAATTGTCTAATGTTCAAAGTGATTGCCGTTTTATAATTGATAAATTAAAATTTAAAAGTTTAATATTGTTATTTATATAAAGCGCTAATTTATTTACGTTTTGGGATAAATAAAAATTTCTTTATTTTCTTTCTTATTGCTTCGAATCGCACAAAATGACCTAGAGCTGACATAGATCACTAAAAATTAGGTTTAGTCAGTTAATCTTTCTTTGAACACTTTATTTTAATTTTATTAATTTATTTAAATTCAATAATTCAGTTATTTAAGTAGTAAAATGCTTTGTTCGTAACTGGTTGATTTCTTCTGCATCACGATGAATTAAACATATAACCACCCTACAATTTAACAAACTAATTTAAACTATTTAAAATGTGAGTCAATAGAGAGATTTTGGTAAGCATCACATGAAATACCCCTAGTGTTTTCTCATGTGAAAACAAACGAGATGTTTTATTTATTTCTTGACTTGTTTTCCACGATTAACTACTTAAATATGTGATAGTTATTAATAATAGTTATTCTCGTATAATTCACGAAAAAAATTTGACAACTATACTAAGTAATTGAAGAAATTGAAAAAAAAGTATTACATATAAATAACAACATTTTATTTCAATATTGATTATCATTTTGGCATTCTGTTTTAAATCCAACTTGTTTTAGTTTTAAGTTATTTTATTCATATTTTGGATTAGGATAAAGTTATGGAGATGTGGGTCTCAGTGAGTCATTAGGCCTCAACCTTACCACCTAATGACATAAAGCATCATTGCATTTTTTTCAGAAACTCATTTCTTTGAGATTATGTCAGAAAACACCACCTGGCAATGTAAGCAAGTTACTTTTTTTTAATGCTTTCTAGGACCATCTCTTTTCTTAATAATCGTCGCCCTTACTGGATACTCGCTAAAACGTCTAATCAGAGCGTTAGCCCTGTTGGTTAATAAATTGCAACCATCTGTGTCAAAATATTCTCCATAATGATTAATATTAATATGCTAATAGTCCCCAGATACCCAGTTGGTACGACTTTTCCTATTACAAAAATTTATACTTCCGCACGAAGAGAAACGAAGCACACATTATTCATTTTTTTTAGTCAAAATGTACGAATTCATATATTGAATGGTAGAAAATATTACTTAATTCCTTGCAAATTGGGAAACTCGATACAAACAGCGCAGAATAACGAAGCGAAGCGAAGTATATCGTCCTGCTAAACGAGATATGTGGATTCTTTCATAAAACAATTATAGACAGATGAAATCCAAAAGGAATTTATTGATGATGTAAAGTAAAGAAAGTAATATAAATATTAGATAATTCGGCACTCACTGAAATTTTAGTTCGTTTGAAGTTTTAGATAAAAAACATTTTAAAGTTTTGAAAATGTTTAAAAAACACAATGCAATATTATTGTCCTAGGCCACAGATGAGCACATGCTTGACGTAGGTGGCCATTGACACCTCATACAAATCAATCTGATGACTATTTCCAGAATGTGATTTCTCTAAAAAATAAATTATGTTAGATATTAATGATAATTCAATTATATATCATTATATATCATATTGAATGTATAAGTGATTTTGTATATATATATATATATATATATATATATATATATATATATATATATATATATATATATATATATATATATATATATATATATATATATATATATATTAGTGACTTTGGACGACTGTCTGTATAATTAGAATGTTATGGTTTTTTATTTTAATTCTTTCCCAAAAAAGTGTACCTAAATACGCAATTGTGCAATGTGCAATTTCAAACATTTTTTTATCTTAGTTCTTACACTTTCTTACCGTTAAATGTTGAATTTACTATCAAAATTATGTATTTAAATAAATTTAAATATATTGCCAAAGTAATTTGACTTACAATTAAATACAGTTTCAAAAATTGTATTTGAAATCCATTTAATTATTTTTCCAGATTTAACATTTTTAACAACTCACACAATTTCCAATATTTTCTCTCCAATTAATCGTAATAACTACTTACATTTTGAATAAAAATGTACGGGAATATGTGATTATCTATAATTTGTATATATTTAGACGCATCGTATTTTCTATTAGGATAAATATTAATTAATTATACCTCAATAAACTTCATAAACATATTTCTTTATATTTTTAAAACACAATGAATGTCATTTCCTGCCCTACAATACCGAGTGGTTATTTCGATACATTTATTTTTTTGTGGTTAATTAAATTTTTATAGAACTTATGACCTCATTTTTTGCTTAATTTTACTCCATGTGGTTAGACTAATACAGTGCATAACCCCCTAGTTAACATCCCAATGGTGACTTACGATTTCGATCGGCTACTCCTTCCCAATTAAAACGGGTGCACCAATACACTTAACCAAAAGGCACGAAACTCGGAAAACAAACAGTTTTGGCGATTATCCTGTTTAACTTATCTTAATACCCCAATCATACCCTGCACGCTTATTCGGTGGACACACACGCGCACTTCTTGTAAATTAACCGTTTATTGTTAGAATATTATTTGTCAATATTTCACACGGTAACGATAAATGCTACAAGACACATCTTCGCATAATATTCGTATTATCACACACTAATTCTAAGTTGGAGTAGTGTCTAAGGGGCGACCAACACGCCACGCCTACCGCGGTACCCGATTGGCCGCAACTCAACAGGTACGACCGACGATTTAGAAGTAAAAGGTATACGCGTCATTCGGAATTTTTACGATGGTGGTTGTCGTTTCGTCACCGTCAAATGCTTAAGTGTTTTCGGAACACCATCGTGTGGGTTATTTATACTGACCGTTTAATTGAGTAGGTCAAAAAATGATTATGAGAATGACTTTACTTGAGAAAATATATTACGATTTTTATTGGAAAATTTTTACTTTTTACAAAACTTCTAGATTCCTCCTGCGTCGGTTTTTACTGAGTCAAACTTGCTGACGTTTGCTCTTCAGAGCTTGACTGAAACTGTTCTAGCCAACAGGGCGATTGGCGAAACGTCAGCAAGTTCAACTCAGCAAAAACCGACAAAGGATGAATGCAGAAGTTTTGTAAAAAGTATTACCGTACCCTGTGGAAGTTTCTCTAAAAAATAGAAAACTCCTTTTGTTTAATCTTAAGATCTTTTTATGGTTTGCAGGATGTTGTAGGCAAAAAAAAAAAGATTTTTCGAAATATGTAATTTCTTGTTCGAGGCTCTATAATAATCAATGACACAAATCAAATATTTTATATTTTATATTCATATATACACCAAACATTGCTTTCAAGTGTAAAAACACAGTAGGCCCAAAACTGTTTTCGAAACTAAAAAGGTCATCCCGACCTGATTTGCACACTGACGTGATATATAAAATTCGTATTCATATGAAAAGCATTTGTTGTTGTTTTTTAAATATAAAACAGGCAATGAGGCCAAAATATTGTACAGACAAGTTCTCACCAAAAATGACAACTTATGACACATTGATAATTTATAGGCAGATTTGGCCCACCTTTCTTTTAAACATCATGAAAATAATGTATTATAAAATGATCAATATTTTGAGAATCTTTCGGGTGTATCATCGTAATCGCTACTGCAATTTATTATCCTTCTGGTCTATCAGCAACTCATCGTCTGCTGGTGTCTATTCCCCTTGTATTTTTTCATTTTGCCTTTTATTCTAACGTAGTTTTTGTCTTCAATCATTTTCTCTGGTATTTTTTCTTCTTTTTTGCTTTGGATTCTTAAAATCGGGGATAGATGGATGAAAGCGAAAGTTCACTCCAATCGTAGTACTTTTAGTGAGTCCATATAATCTGAAAAAACCATAATATAAACAATAAAATATTAGTTATAATTACCTCCAAAAATTTCCAATGCAAATTAAAAAAGTTATTATCTTATGGTTCTTAAATATTTTTTATGCCAGTAAAATATTTTTAACATTATCTTACCTTACTTACTTGACTAAACAGGTTGTTAAAAGAATAGAAAAAATGAAAATAGCCGTCTTTCCTAGAATCGCTCTACACATTATGAGATGAGTTTCGGGGAATATCGACGATAGAGCATACCAGAAACCCCATTTCAATTACGTTGTGGGAGATTGTATTCGTGCGTATCATCTTAATTCCTTTTTCTTCTATCATCAACATCTCATGGTCTTTTGATGACCATTCTTTGATTATTTTTTCATTTTTCCTTCTCATTTAAGATCGGTTTTGTCATAAAAAATGTTATCTGCTTTATTTCTCTTTTTTTATATAGCGAAAGTTCAGAACAATTGTGACACTTTTGGTAAGTCCACATAAATTGAATTCAATTCAATTTTCTTATTAATCTCAAACATCTTTCTTGCCAGTAAAATAATATTTTTAGCATCGCTAGGTACCTTAACGTAATGCTGAAGTGGATTCAACTTTCTTGAAATACTGAAATTTGCGATCTTTCCAGGAATTGTTTTGAGGTGGGTCTTCAAGGAATATTGACGATATTGCACACTAGGAACCCTATTTCAACTACGCTGTGTGCTAAAATATCATCACTTGATGAATATTCTAATTTTGTATTTTATAATTTTTCCTTTATTTATAGTCGCTTTCTCTGCTCTTTTTTCTAGTATTTTATCGGGGATAATCGTATCGGGAAAAATTCAAGTTATAATAATACAAAATTAGTGGAAAAAAGCAATTTTCTGAACAATATTAAATGTTTTTCATGAAATATATTTCAGGTAGCATACTTAAAATTATATAAAAAACAGTTTTTTAACGTAACACTGGAATGGATTCAAAATTTTTGAAGATATTGAAAATTACCATTTTTCCAGGTATTGCCTTTCGTTAGAGCTTTGATGTGAGCATAGGGTAAAATCTACGATAAAGTTGTGAAATATCATCGTCTCTTTTCTATTTTTTTCTTTTAATCTAAAGTCGTTCCTGCCTCCAATTACTGTCTCTGTTCTTTTTTCCTCTTCCTTGCTTTGGGTATTCCTTAAAATTGAGAAGTTCAGTGCAATTGCGACTCGTCTGGTAAGACCACATAATTTCAAAGAACCACAAAATAAACACTAGTAAAAAATGAGTCCAAAAAATTCAATGTTAATTTTTCTATATCCCAAGAATTATATTTTTAATATTTGACTTCTACTTACTTACGTAATGCAAAATGAAAATCTAGGAAACATTAAGAACGATATGTATTAAACAGACCATTAAAATTTTTGGAGATATTTGAAATGGTCCCCAGTACGGGCGTCTTTCTCTGAATTACCCTACATTTTCGTTTTGAGATGGAAATTGAAGGATATCGACGATAAAGCAGAGTATGAACCTTATTTAAAATTCGCTGTGTGCTGAAATATCACTATTAATCTGGTAATCACTATTCATTTTAGGTATTTATTCAGTTTTCCTTTATTCAAACTGGTTTTTGTCATTATTTATTTTCTCTGCTCTTTTTTTTTCCTCTATTTTTCTGGGTTCTCCTTTAAATCGCGGATAGAATACTTTTGGTAGGTTCACATAATTTCAAAGAACCATAATAAAAACATAAGTCAAAATTATCTTCAAAAATTTCAATGGCGAATTAAAAAAGCAATTTTGCTATGAATATTGAATGTTTTTATGCACGTAAAATAATATTTTTAACATAGGTAGGTCGCTTACCTACTTATTACACAAGAATCTAGGAAGCATTTAAAACGATTTGTGAAAACAGATTCTTAAGACAGTGTTGAAGTGGATTCAAAATTTTTGGAAATATTAAAAATGACCATTTTTATCGTTTATAAATGAGCTTTTAAAGATTCAATCATTTTCTGCTCTTTTCTCTTCTTTCTTGTTTCTCTCCTTCAAATCAGATCTAGACATCGCAATTGTGTGTCCACATAATTTGAAAGAACTATAATATTAGTAAAATTTCCTTCAAAAAATTTCAGTGGCGAATTAATAAAACAATTTTCTTCTCGATATTAAATGTTTCTCATGTCTGCAAAATAAATGTTACTGAGCTATGTAATAGAAAAATATCTAGGAAAAATTAAGTACGATATGTGAAATAATAATGACACGGATTTAAAATTTTTGTTGACATGGAAAATAGCCGTCTTTCAGGGATTAACGTCTTGAGATTGCTTCTTTGAATATCGACGATAGAGCAGACCAGGAACCCAAGCTCAACTAGGATGTGGAATATGGAAAAAAATCTCAAAGACCCATAAAATAAACACTAGTAAAAAGTACGTCGTTACTTTTAAAATAAGATTTTTGACATAATTAGGGAGTCTACTTAATTACATTATGTACAAACATCTGGGAAACATTTTGTCCCAGTGGTGCGTTAATGCACCTATTCTATGTTTTTTTTTGTCACATCCAGGAAATATTTTTGCACATCCATTTAGAAATTTTATTATTATTATTATTATAATTATTATTATTTTATATTTATTTATTTATATTTATTATTTTTATTATTTATTATTTTTAAATTTCATCATTATCTAAAGGACTAAAGGACATAAAACCGTAGAAATCGCTAATTTGTGTGTAAAGGAAAGATCTTATATATGACTTCAAAAGTTAACAAAAGCGGTACATAAATTTGTATCACATTTTCAAGTAAATCTAAAATAGTAAAAAAATTTTTTTTGGATTTGTATTGCAATTTTTGTTAAGTCTAAGGCATGTAGTTTACATCGCAGAAAACATACATTGGAAATACTATATTGAATATGCCTTAATTTTTGAAAATATTTACTGATGCGTTAATGCAGCACTGGTTTTACCTGTGAAACCAAACGTTACGTTCATAAAATATGGCATTTCCGAGGTATTTGACTCAAAAGGAATCAGAGGCGGTTATGAAGGAGATCGTGATGGATGAGGATAATAACAATGAAAGTCGTAAGTATTATTTCGATTTACGTATTCTTATGTATTGAACATTCCATTCGTTGTAAATTTATGCTAAAAATAACGTGAAAAAATATTTACGGAACATATTGACGTGGTCTATATTCCACCCGAAGTGGATACCTTGACTGACGGAGAAGTTATGAAGGATATCATAAATCTAAAAGAGTTTGGGGAACCAACTAATATAGTTGGAACTTTCGAGTTATATACACCGAATGATACAGCTGTTCTTCAACAGTCTTGTAATTCATCAACTACTGTACCTGAATGGGACTCATCAGATGATGAAACCCTGGAATTCAAAAGAAGACTTATGTTTTCTGCAAACGATAGGGTTGCTTCTACTGTCAAATGGAAGAAAAGTAAGACTGAGTACACTCACACACCTATATCCGATGAATTTAGATCATGTGAGGAACTAAAAACTAGGCTTTCTGGAAAAACTCCGCTTGAAATATTTTTTATGTCTTTTGATGACGAAGTGATTGATTTGATTTAAAAATTTTCGGTAAAACTAACCAAAACAATAATCGCCATGAATTCTCTGAAAATGAACTTTTAATTTTTGTAGGCACTTTATTGTTCTCGGGTCATCATTCATTGCACATATTTAGCATTACTGGTCTACTGATGAAGACAAAGGAAT